TACGTTACTGCTATCGTCCTCGTTGTGGCTATTGACGGTGCTGGCGATGTGAATGATACTGGCAGTGCTGTCTATTCACTCTTATACAGTGAAGTAACACTAAAAGCAACATGAGTTATTTAATAGATGTTAACAGATTACAGCTGATCCCTGCTTAAGAAGGGCATGTTGGTGAGCGCAAAGACTCACTTATGACTTTCTTTGGAGTTCCAGTTCTGACGATGGCAGTTAATTGAATCAACCCTTACCAACGATTTGGGCTTAGGATCGATGCCGAATCAAGGCTACATGTGTGGAACAGACACCTTATGAAACCAAAGGGGGGGGGGGGGGTTGCGGAATTAATCTATGCTGTTAATATATCTTTAAACCGTGCATCTATACAATTTGTTAACGCTCTTACATAACTTACGAATAAATGTAAGTCATTCATGCCTATGCGTGAGCAGCAGTTATGTAAAACCTCAAGAAACTCAATAGGTCTATAAGCCATCCATCAAAATCTATGTATCCTTGGGTGAAAGCATCTGGATTTATTTCAGGATTTTATGGAGTCCTGAAACGAGACCACATTGAAGCACAATCGAAATGACTTTATTTCAATGCCTACCGAGATGTTGCGCTAAAATACTACAATAAAATTATTTGTCATCATCGAATTCAAATCGTATAACGGTAGATCGAACTAGCACACACACATAGAAGGTGTTAAATAATTGAACATTATTTACGAATCTAGGTAAAAGGCTTTACAACAGCCGCTTTACTATCAAGGTTAAGCGACTTCTATCTGAACAACCTCTAGAAAAACACAAATAAGGCTGTTCGCTGTATACAACACGCCACACGCTACATGTTAACGTGTGATGCGGGTTGAATTATGCAGGTGTGCGCCTATAATAATAACAGGTACTATAACCTTAAAAGTTGTGTAACGTAGGTCCGTTTGCTGGTTGTATGTCCGTCCGCCGTAGCGTTATGTTTGCGTCTGTGAATTCGTTCGTGGTCGGGTGAAGGTGGTGCCCAGATAAGATTAGTAGAAACCGCCAGCGTCTGCCAATTCTATTTCTATTTATAGTAAAAGGAACGCACGCGGCCAGCTTTCGATTAAACAGCTTTGCACGGCAACACTGACGGCATCGTTGATGTTACTCGTTCCAAGAAGTTGAAAAACGCGCTATTCAATGAAGTCGCTGCGGGAGAAATAAGTGAAGAAGACCTTCAGCAGCTCTGCTGGCGGCCATTTCGATCGCTGTGGACGGGACCGTATTCATCTGGCCGGAAGATGAGGGTGGACGGAGTCTCACACATGAGCCTGCTAGGAAAAAAAGCTGCACAAATGCGTCATCGCGTAAATAAGCTCCATTTTTATCGTTGAATTTTTCCCCTGACTCATATCGGTTCGGAGTAGATTGATGGTGTTATTACGATCCTTTAGCGAACTGAGGCTAGCACTCTAGTTCCCAATGACTTTCGCTTCCCTCAAATTTCTGTTAAATTTGAAGTTATGTGAGTCTACTGCTGTTTCATTGCGTAATCGGTTTTATTTGTTACATTGTTTTGGGAGCTACACAGCAATAAACGTCTTACAACCTGATGACTCACGATTGAACCTAACCTAATTGGACAGACATAAGGAAATGAGCATAAATATGAATGATAAAAACACATAAAAGAAGCGGAATCACATCGCTCCACCTAAAGTGTGTTTAATTAGACCGGCCTTTTGGTTACTAATTTTTTACCGCCGTCGCTTTGAAGTGACCTGGCTTTTTCGACACAATCTGCTTCACTCTACTTTGCAATTTAGGAAAGAACTACAGAGCTTTTCCCTAAAGTCGCCATGTAATTTAATGAACAAATTTACGTTTGGGAATATGGTTTTTCTAGCTTATATCTGAATATCTGCCATAATGGTCTGATTGTCTTTGTCGTCGTTGCTTTTTATTTTTCCATTCTAACCAAATGAATACTTTGTTGTTAGTAGTGAATCTAAGCAAGACCTTTTATTTAGTTCTGCAAGATATCCTTGATAGGCTGCAAAACTGATTTCGTACCAGGACTCTTTGATTAATAATACGTTAACATCACATTCTCCTATGTGCCATTGCGACTAGTTTGGTTTTTCGGTATTGTTCATGGTACATTGTTTGTGCGTTGCGAAGTTGTTCCTGCATAAATTCTATCTACTCTACGTCTCGCTAAACTTGATGAGCCGTTGGTGGTTACTCGAGCCAGTAGCGTTAGGTCTGTTCTAATAGACATGTCGGCGTGAAGCGTCTGATTTACCATCTACAAGTCAGAATAATTTTGTTTTCTCAAAGCAAATTGAAAGTTACCTGCCAAATATGAATGACTATTAGATTTAAATGAAAACATATTCAAGACGCCTAAATGCAGGAGATCATTTCGGCTAAATGCGTAAACTTCTCATAGCCTTCATGTCATCGCAACAGCTTTGTAGTATTTATACAGGGGTGCCTTCTCTGCTGGCGCCCCTGTGCCAAACATCCAAGACGAACGCTCGTTATAGATTGTTATCGTAGATAATGTTTCGCGACTTTGCATCGAGCTGTCAATTTAATGATGCCTGTAATTTTCGTTGCTCATCATCGGTCGCCTTTACGACTTTGCTCACAGCGTCGGCTGATCTGAACAGCTGAACGAACGGCAAGACAGCACAGTCAGCCGATGTATCCTTTATCCTTTACGTAAATGCGCATGCGCAGATTCGTACTATTTATATTTACGATCGTGTCCTCTGATCGTGTCGGTCCAGTGATACCTAGGTGGTCGCTGCTCTGTGTATCTAAGATCGTTTTGGTACTTGCCGCTGGCGTTATTGCTGTGAATGACAGGGGGTTAATAAGGAAAAAATGTTTGCTTTGAAATTGGGTGTAATGCTATTGTTTTGGTACTGAGTACTTGTGGCACACAAGATAAACGCATCCTTAACACGAGACAGCAGACGCAGATTCAAGAGCAATCCTGGTTTTACAAACCCATCCAGTCATACAGAAGAGGTAGATTACAGGGTGGGTACGTATCAACGCCGTTGCGCACTGTAGCACATCCGACATAACCTTGTAACAAATCGAAATCGGCTTTCGTTCGGCTTTTATCGCTTGGAAGCAAGTTGGCTTTCGATACTATTGACAATGTTCTCCACTGTCTAACGACTATTAGGAACAATAAAATCATCTACAGTTGCAATCTTGACTGTCGTAACTTGGCTCATATAGTAGACTGCATTATGAGTGCAACGCATACATCGTATGACAATGGGATGTCGCAACTTACTGAGCTTAGACCTTAAACAAGTACCAAAACATCCTTGTCAAGGGGCAAAAAAATAAGAATTTGTAGATAACCTAATCATCTCAGTATCAAATCAACTTTGATCTGAAAGGTGGGTAAAAATGCAAGGAACGCGTAGCTTTTAAGATTTTTTCTGAGTATTGTTCTATACGTTCGTTTATTTAAGAAGACTGAGAGCTGACTTCAAAATGAGAATAGCCAGAGGCAAATGTACCATCGCTGATAAAAACAATTAGGAACACCTTTAGCCGTCCTGTATCAATATATCAGATTTAATTTAGTCAAACGAACGGAGAGGTTAGCGTGTCCTTAACACTAACTCAGCTGTCTCTATTGAGCTAATTAGTTTTTCTGTAAAGAGTCTAATAATACAGTTTGGTTTATTTTATTAGAAAATGATAATACACTTTTGTAATATGTTTGGGACTTGCTGGAAATAGGCAAAACATCTCGAATCGCTCTTAAGGACGCTTATTTCGTACCTTAGTGTATTTGTTTGGTTGTTATGTGCGTGCGGCTATCTTTGGTTTCGTAAAATCCTGTGACGCCCACCTTAATGCATGACGAACTGCCTGTTGGCATGTAACATTATCGTTGATGGGAGCGCAGGCCGGGGTGGGGGGGGGGGGGGTACTGGCATAGAACAAGAAGCTTCCAGGGCTTTCGGCTGTCGACCAGCAAAACCGTGTCTATTCGAGTAGATTTTATCGGTCAGAATATATATTTAGAATCTTATTTTACCATCTTATATGCCTGTACTAAATTAAAGAAAAACTATTAAAATAATGGTATAGCCAGGAAAACCAATACAATTTGGTATAGAGAATTACGATTCGGTAACCCCTGGACACATTCAATGCAATCGTCCCCAAAATTCGTCTAACAATGCAATGCCAATAATAAAACGTAATTCATTTCATAGTGATAGAAAGTAAATCGCAAGCTCTTGAAGTATACAATTCAATTTAATGAGCAATTTTTTTTCATGTTTCACTGTCAAGTTTAATATGTTTCAAGATATGCGTATGAGTCGTGCATTATTTCTCGTATGAATTGCCTGTCAAGCTACTCCCATTAAGATGTAGCTCCGGAAGTTAGAGTGATAATACTCCCCACAAGTTAAAACGGTAGTAAATTGTTTTCAGTTGAAACTGAAAGGAAACGAGGCGTTTGTTCGCAAGACGTGACATATACCTAACCTCTTTAGTTCCAAAATGTTCACCCGAACTCAAAGTCGAAACCGTAAATTTCTCTTACCAGTTTTCGGCCCAACTGTATGTTAGTTGTATGGTAGTTACATGTTGTTAGTTACGGCAACTACATATATGACAAATTCACGTTCTTAAATAGATATTAAAGGATACATTTTACAATATGTATCAGCATTGGCTTTGTAGCACGCGGCTACGCTGACGGTACCAATGTAGCTGAGATTAGTTAGAATACAATTGCTTATGGCGAAAAACGATACAGCACACGGGAAACTTTTGTAACATGAGAAAATGCTCATTCTTATCACAAGAAATGACTATCCATTGGGTTTTTAAATTTTTGAGTCTCATTATTCTGCCGTAATCAAGACTCTGCATAGTTAGTCATCAACATAAAACCTACTTCATCTGTTTGTCGAGGAATTTCACTCACACTGCTGTTGAATATTGTTATATGTACGATCGTTTTAGAGTCCTACATCGTCTACGGCGTCCGCAGTGGGAGTTCTGCCGTCCTCTGAAGGAGCGTCGCTGTCATCCCTAATGCGGGCTCAGTCACCCGCTGATTCTGGGTTGGGCGAACGCGCCGAGGAGCGTTTCGAATACGAGGAAGAAGAAGATACTCAGCCGCCCCTAACTTCTAACTTAAGGTAAACAATGCTCGCCAGTGAGCGAGCGAATACTGAGTATAGCTTCAGATGTTTAACTTCGCTACTCACATGTTGTCTTATTATGCGACAAAACAGTAAGGCTATTTGAGCGTTAATATCTTCACAGGTGTTTCCGTTCGCCCTGTTTTCAACTATACCCAAGAAACATGCTAACTGTGTCCTTCTACGTAAAACGTTTTCTTTTAAGAAAAAAAAACAACAAAAAACACTAGGACTTCTTATGAATTTGTCATCACTCCGTCTGTAAAAGATTATTCGTACACATCGGAAAAAGTCTCATGATTTTCAGTTGGCTAGCTCAATCAGCCTTAGGTAGGTTCTGTTACCCTATATTGTGTCTTGGAGATTCAATGAACTATTCACTGTTATCTTGCGTCATCTAAAATGACCGAATTATAAAAGCTGTACTTTAGACGTTCTTTCCTTGCTTTAGAAGGGCCTAACGGCAGTCATACATATATAGTCTGAGATAACAGAGACATTAAAGTCTTTTTTTTTATTCTAACTGGTTTTATATACAATTCTAGTGTCGATCGGCGACAATAGACGTACATACTTCTGATCTTAGCATGATCACTGTTATTGATCAACCTTCGCCCGTTGTCCGGTAGCCTTTTTCAATGTAATCGATTAGGTAGCAATTAAGCTTTTTCATGTAATATGGGAATTTGTGTACTTTTGATATTAATTATACATGAAACGGTACTGGCTTTGTTTTAAATCGTAATGATCCAGTTTGTATCTGTTGTTCGAAATCTTCCGCTTCAGAATATAAAATAGCGTTTTGTGTTGCCTGCATATGCGGCATGTACTAACGGCCTAAGACTGTTTCCTGTGTATATTATATATGGATTATTCACAATATGTGTACCCCTACCGTGAAATCTCTTGTATTGTTCCTCCCCTAAAAATGCCTACTTTGTAACAAAACGATAAACATCCTACATATATCTTGCCAGCATCGTAAATCTACAAATGAGGTATTATATTGTTAGTGTTTGAAGACATCGACGAAGTTATCAGCACGCCACAAAAAGGCATCTTAGGTTCTTTGGAATTACAGACGCGTTGCTGCAGAAATCACCTTTGGCATCCTATAGATTCGTTTCCGCTTCCGAGTCTAAAGAGACAGGCATTGTTATTGTTACGCCCGTATCGGCGTTCTATTTCATTCAAATTCAAGCGGTATAAAAAGCAAAGATCTAATAAAGAAAAAACACGATAAATGGCCAAAACGATTTGTTAACGTAAATTTAACTTCTGGAATTGCCTATAATTAAGAACTGGTGTCCATTAGAAGTGCATTTGTAATCAATACTGACATCAGAAAAATATCTGATTTAAAGCAACGCTCATAAGAAAAGTCGATAGAGGTTATGCCAACCCTATTTAACGCCTATCCAGATAGCTATGTAAAATAGGTCGTATCGTTTTTTATGTAGTGAATTTTCAGCTATTCTTGGTGACGCGGGATTTCGCCCTTAATTATACTATCATACAATCGCTCTTAACTAGTGCATATATGTATAACTTATTAATAAAAACAGAGCATAAGGGTTGTTAAAGCCATTAAATAACGCGTTTCGCAGAAACTCGGACAGTTTCCGGGAAACCTCCCCAGGGTCCCCGAACAGTCGTCGCCTTGCCAACCGAAATGCCTGGAGTAGGACGAGTATACGGAGAAGTTCTTGGTTAGTTAGAAATTTTGATAAGTTTACAGTAGCGCTATATTGAATGCACTGACTCAGAATAGTTTATGAAATTAGTGCATTACCTTACTGCAATGGGGCACACGCAACTTGACGATATCTTCACGCTAATGATGGTGGTGGTAATGAAATGTCTATTGGAAGGAGGTAAGCGCACCTCCCGGTCCGCAAAAGACAGTTCGCATGCGTTAATAACTCAGGTGGTACGGTACATAAGAAAGACTAGCCTTGCATGCCATAAACACTGGAGGTTATGAGCGCGCACTATGTTTTGTCAGTAGTTCCGTGACATCGGTAAGCACTAATATTGCCATATATACTGTATATATACACCATTTATAAATTTATTAGGTAAAACGAAATTCTGGCACTGCAGCTACAAAAAACATGTCCGCCAATTAAAAAGTTTCTAGAAATAAGCTTAACAAATTTGAATATTTAGAAAAAAAAAAAAAAGCAAAATTTAGATATTCTAGTTGCTAAAATAACCGTCTGAAATGAAACGCTGTTGAAATTTTTTTTTCGAAAAAAAATAACCGCAAATATACTTAGGTAACTTGCATGAGCGACAATGAGCAAATTCGTTTCACTCGTGAACAGGAAATATCCAAATCAGTTTGTTCCGATAATAACGGTCGCTAAGACAGATTGCTTAGTGCTATCTGGAGCTGTTCGTCGATCGGTCAAGGGTAACTTTCGATGCAGAATTACTTTTTACTGGGCGGCACGACAGTATGCTATTTATACAAAAGCCATTAGTAAGAAAAACCGATCAATTTATGTCAAAACCACCCCAGCTATTAGTATTACTACTTGTTAAGCAAATGGTTACCATCGTAATTTTTACTACCGTATTCTTAATGCCACCAAAACAGGCTGATGTGTCAGACGTTTTCTATAGTGCGCTTGCGATCTTCGAACGACCGAAGCACATACGCCCATACATACATACATACATACGTCAGCACTAACTCGATACCTATAGCCGGAATGGATCCGATCATGTCCGAACACCTTACAGTTATCCGTTATTCTATGAAGATGCTCGACGCGTCCGAATACTATGTTACATGATGCTTTGTTTCTTTAGTAAGTTCTATATAAGTAAATGGATGCTCGAACAACGGCGCTGATTTGATACGCCCCATATCTTCTCCGATGAATCTCTGAGGATGAAAGATTATATATCGCATTGCGCATGTCAACAATAATTAAATATACGTAAACGCAAGCGAAAATATGCAGAAGTTGGCGTCATCGTACATGATCCAGGCACGTTGTTGAATTAGCCACGGCACCTGATTCCGACGATTACTGCGCAGCGTTTCGACTATCGGGCCTGCTTGGCCGCCGTCGCATAGAAAAGATAATGATGACTGAGTTGCAGATCGCCTGCAGCTTGTAGCGGACGCGTTATTTTCTGTGTGATTTCGTAATTACTAAACAATAAGCTTCCTGGCGACTTTCGACGTCGTGAAGTGCATAGGACGGGCGCATGGTTACTATTGTTGTTTACCGCGTTCATCCTGACGCCAGAAACCAACAGATATGCATGGACCGTCGAAACCACATCGCTTATTGGTTAATAACTTACTACCAATACCAACAAAATAGATCGTAATAGTGACATTAAGTCTGCCGCGTAGGTGGACAGATCCATGTTTGAACTAAAAAAAACAACGCTCCACGGCCAAATAATAGCTGAACGAGGTAATAATTGAGATCTGAAAAGTTCCGATCACCACCAATTAGCTATGATGCTAGCGTGCATCACGACGTTGATGAGCCTCATCGAACATAAATGCATATAATCATTGCTATGGTGATTAAAGGGAAGACAGAAAATTTTAGATTGTTGTCTGTCGTTTGTAAGCCTTGACGTATTCTGAAGACGACTATGTTTTGTACTTATTTTCTAAGTATATCATCTTTGAAAGAAACCGTATGCAACGAGTTGCAACTATGCGTAACGTAACGATTGAATCCGTATTTGTTGCATGCCGTACACAGACCTGCCCCCTAGAGTTCGAAATCATTGCCCGAGTAAGAAAAGGTAACTTACAATTTTTATACCATATTTCTGCAATTACGATTCATAGTTCTTCAAAGCGCTTTGCTGGTTCGTCTCTTGGAAGAGAGCTATCGGCCGCAGCTGTAGCAAATGCCTCCTTCAATTCAGCCCAGTCTCGAAGGTAGGTGTGCTCGGTAGTCATGAAAAATACGCGCTCCATTTAAACGCAACGTAATGATTATCATAATTGTTCTCAGATTAAGCAACGTCACAATGAGACTGTCGTAGCTACTATATTGTACTAGAAGACATAAAAATCATTCATTCTCTATAGTGGCAGCGTCATTGCGGCGGGAACTACTCGTTTAGGAAGAGAATGACTAGGAAGAACGGATCGTAGAGACGAACTTTCTGAAAGCAAATGGCGATGATTATTGTTAGCAGCAGTGAAGCAGCGTTGGTATAAAATGAAGAAATAAGCCGTTTCTTCTTGCTATTAAAAAAGGCTATAGTGAATCAATAATATTGCGATATTTTCTACCGAATTTGTTATTCGCTCTAGAACTATAGAAGCAGGCTAGTTTCTTACAAACAATAATCTAGTTAAATTATATCCAACAGCTTGCGATAACAACTTACCTATTTTCTCATAGCTAAGGGTAAGTTTTGTAATAATTAATGCTTTTAGTTATAGTTCGAATCGCCCTGTAGATTACATCTTTCTTTGCTGAATTTTTATTGAAGTTTTTCTAAAGTTGTTTATAGTGAAGCTAATGGTTTGTGACGTTTCAGATCGTCATTCTCCTACGAGCAAAATAATGAGCTGGACTCCCTTGCTGACCAGCAGGTGCTTGACGATCTGACCGATAAGGTAAGATACCTTTTTCGTAGGTATGTTTAGGCATTCTCGTTAAGAGTGTCCCTTCTATTTTGGAAGACATTTTAGTTTGTTGCCAAAGCATCCAGTACAACCGTTTTAGCGATATTCTAGACGCTATACATTTTTCGACAATTTTTTTTTGTCAAATTCGATCCACTAGTTATTATGCATGGCATCGAGCTTACAGCAGAAATATTGATTTGTTCCACTGCTAGATTGACCGAAAACTGGTAGTACTGATCGATTAATTGCAAAACAAAGTATGGATTAACAACATTTTACTCCAATGCGGTTACAATCAACCATATGTAACATACACAAGCAGAAGATAACCCATGACTGGCCTGTAATAATAGCGCTTCGCTTACTTGGCCCGAAAATATCGCTTTCTGAATCAGTTGTTGCCTTTGATGTTGCAACGGATGTTATAAAAAGGAAAGCTGGGGCCTTAACGCGGAAGAGGATCAATTTATTCGCGTCTCTGTCGATCAAGAACAGTAAAACACCACTTTCTCTGAGTGAATAATCTATTAAGTCGAACCTTGTAGACACACTGGGCCTGTCCCGCACGCAACTATTTCATATCTTGAAGCGCTAGGACCAGAGTGCAGGCTTTCACACTGACGTGCATGCGCCTGTTCTCGACCGAAAGAGCCATATTCGTCTACCGTCGTTTCCCTATCGTTTGATCCTTAGCTAATCGGTTGCTTCTCGTCTCAGTACGTATTACATTTTGCTGGCGTCATTGTTGTCGTTTCAAAGTCCTACGGCAAAAAAATGCCATAGTAGTTATTCTATCCTGCCCCTTTTCTATATTTCGAATGCTCTGCCGTGACCTCGGACGGATGCGGTCGTAGTTGCCGTTGCTAAGCGCTATAGATTTCGATTTATTTTTGCGTTTATGTCAGATCACGTCACTATCGATTCGAGTAACTGCAGCCTAACACTGTGTGTTAGCTGTGTGGCTATGCAGCGCGTTACCGCGCCATTTCAGCTCACGGGAGTTCAAAATATCGAATAATGCTGATCGTCGCCAGACTGCCACGACACATCCAGAACGCAAACAGAAGAGGTGCTATAAGGGGTGAAAAGATATTTTCAGATAGATGGAAGGGCAGCCCACTGCGACATTTATTGTTGTCGTTGCCACTGCTATTGTCTTGCCGTGCTTGTTTGGATGATGTGCTACCGTTGTAATTCGGGATGCAACTGGCTAGTAACCCTTCCCTGAGCTGTTCGTCAAATTATCCCTATCGTACAGGACTGTTGCAACGACATCGAAAGTAACATTTATTTACAGAGAAAATGCTAAATGAGCCATAACAATAAACCATTTAAGCTCTCCCGTTGCTTTTCCGCCATGATTTGAACATATGTAAGGCTGATTCGTGAGAGCCAGTTCTATGTTCAAAGTCCTATTGAAAGAAATAGTGAAAGGTTTAATAGCGTCAAGGTAACTGCGATAGACAGGAAATACTCATTAAAAATATTAAAATAGGGTGTACTAGAATTATTTATACTTGGAGCGGCAGTAAAGTGGCACTTTATAGAATTTTCCACCATTTCACACAGTTTCTTTAAATAATGTTGAAAAGATAAAATTGAATCATGCGAAAAACTTTCAGGAAAGTTTTAATTACCTTCCGTCCTCGAAATGTTACAACCTGGAATCATACGATTCCACGTACCAATTTTCTATGGAGAACAATAGATAACCTTTTAGCCAAACATGAATGTAAAGCACTTTGTCTTACCTCATGTACGTTTAGGAGCCTTAAAGCTCTATTGTATAGCATAATCTAAAAAGTCTAAAGTCTAGTATAATCCGTACGTGCGACATGTTCGCGTATAGGACTTAGGGATACGTGAGGCGGCATAAATTTGAAGAAGGACCTAGATACCTTTGACTTCGTGTCGAGTCAATTACACTTAGAATTCAAAGCATTCCTTTGGAACTATCTAATACTATATCGTTTCTGTAGTCTCTAAGTATCTCTAATACTAAGACCAATTACGTGCCTTCTGCAGGTACAAGAAATGGAGATTCAGATCACAGCCTTAACAGAGGATCTCGCCACCAGTAAAGATCTCTACCAACGCGCCAAACAAGAGAACTCGTTACTTACACAGAGGTGCGGTAACATCTGTAGGCAATTCTATCAGTCGAGATGAATATGTTAGCGAACTTTGCCTATTAAAATTAGCTTGAGAGCAATATTCCTTTAAATCGACTACTTCAGATGAGCTGAGCCATTCTAATTTAATTACTATGTGATAGAATTCACGCGCTTGAGGAGAATATTCGTGAGTTAGAGTGTAAGACTGAAGAACGAGTGCGTGAAGAGCGCAAGCAATTCACCACTATGATGGAGAGGAAGGATCGAGAAAGGGCCCTTGAATCAGAGCAGCATGTGAATAAAATACTCGAACTGCAGGTAAGATCCGATTTATCCGATTCTATATTAGTCATCAGTAGAGTTTCGATGATCTAAATGATGTCAGAAATTATGAGAGCTTCATTTAGTAGAACGTTTCGCTTCCCTCAACAACGAATTAAACTGGTCAAGTCTAGAAAGTGGTCAAAGTTTCACCTGTATGCCGGCACGATATGTTATGAAACGTATGTGTGTATTATATCACTACGAAGGTACTAATAATCGTTAAAGAAGGCACTTATGTGTTAAAGCTGGGAACTGTTAAATAAGAAGATCGAAAAAACGCGGTCGATGGGCAACAGGAACAAGCGAACGAATCGAATTGATATTGTACGACGACAAAGAACACAACGGTGTGACGAAAGCCAGACTTGTTAATAAAAGCCCATATCAAAAATATAGTAAAAATACTGACCGATTGTAAAAATTAATTTACTCTTAAATTTGTCATTCTTAGCTTTTTCGAAAAACGGCGCCGTTATGACATCATGCAGAAATTAGTTATTCATGTGGAAAGTTTGTGCGTAAATCTGGAGAGGGCTGTTATATATACATATATATATATATATAATGGCTATATTGGATATAAGTCACATTGTAAAGAGGCACTCGGAGCGTAGCTTTTATCAAAGTGCCCATCGAAGTTTATGCTTCTAATAAAAATAAAAATTTTTTTTGCTCGCTAAATTCTCATATCGGTATGATTAGCATTATAGAAATATTCACCTACTCGTAATGTTACACATATTAAACAGAACGAGCACATGGCCACCAAGGAGGAGACCGTTAAGTTACGCACCTTATACGACCAGTTGAAGCAGGAAAAAAAGATCGACTCTGAACAGCTTTCAGAAGCGACGCACGAACTTCAGACAACTAAACAAGATCTCCGGGCATTTCAAGAGGTGAGTTTTAATAACAAAAACCGGTCGAAAAATTTCCGGTGAACTAGATTTTTGTTAAGGCTTTCAATGACATCAACGTTTACTACACAACCCGTTTTGACTATATGTTTGGCGGGCTCAAACCAAATCCTGACTAGGGCACTACCTAGCTACTGTTATAACGCGTTTTTTTTTACATATTATATTTTATGTAAGTCTTCTTTAAACTTATCCTCTCCTTTTTTCTAAGGTACAGCTAAATTTTCAAATGTGCTTTTTAAAGGTAAGCCGTAGAGAACGCGAGGATTTCCAAAAAGAAAAGCAAGTTTTACAAGAAGTGATCCAGGATCTTACGCACCGCTTGGAAGAGCTCCAACACTTGCGACAACGTAACGTCACTCCGCAGGTAACTTTTTATATAAGTAACTTGCAATAGACAAGTTATCCTCGCGACAAATTTCACTTGATGCGAGCCAGATTTACCTTAACCCTTATTTGCAAATCTGCCTGATTTTCGGCTGGATTTAGCAAGAGCTGTTATTCAGTCAACAGTACTGCACAAGACACAGTCGTAGGAATTTGCAAAGTAAGGATTAAGCACCTAAGTGGGACAGGATAAGCCTGTTTGTTAGGCTGCAAGATTTAGTCTGTGAAGCTCTGATCATGTTACGGCTATAACAATAAGAATCACAACAACAACCTCGATCTGAATGGCCGCAGGAAGGTGACAAGCTTCGAGAGCGGTCAGCATCCTTTATCCAGAATCTTCCGTTGCATTGCGAAACAATGGAAAAAGAGCTCGAAAGGCTACAGCATGACAATCGCCGCCTCAAGGAACGAAACGAGGAACTCGATGAAGAGCTCATAGGGCTGAAAGTAAGCATCTACACATTCTTAGCTGCGATGACCACTAGCTTAGTTTTAGTGTAAAAAAAAACTAAGTGTAACCCTATTGAGGCACTGTCAATATCAACTATCTTTGACGCATTTTAATATATTTCACATACGTTTGACGGAATCCTTAGGGTACGTTTGCTCTGTATCTAATAATTCCCACTGATGTACACGCATTAAATCGAGGTGCACAGAACTTCCTCTCTACATACGCAATCCCAAAATATACATGTAGGGCGATTCTACTTGCACGGAGCAAACCGGAACTCATTAGCCGTATATGTATATATTAAATATAGCTGCTTTTATGATGGTTTCTAACTTATGCGTGTGTGTAATTTTACTTACGCTAGGTTGGCCAGGGTCAACGTCTTCTAAACAGTAGTGATTCAGCAACGCATGATAACAACTGGGCTGCAGAAACCGACGATCTAAACATGCTCTCCAAAGAGGAACTAGTGGGACAGCTTCGCAGATTACAAGACACCAATGTCGATCTACGTGAATATATTGGTACGGTGTTATCAAATATCATCATGACCTACCCGCAGATGCTCGAAAAGAAGATCTAGACTATCCCCACGCTTTTACAGTTAATTAGCTTAGTTTGTACGTCAGCAAGCTAAGTGGCTGTGTGAGAGACCTGCTCAGTGTGTTGACTGTACTTTCTGATCTACCCAAACTTTTCAGACAGCTGGCGAAATCGGGAATTTTCAGATGATGATGATAGAAACCTTTTAGCAACATCGAATATTAATTCTCTTTGTAAGCTCCAATCAAATACTAGTGATACTATCTCTTGCTCCTCGTCTCAGACGCGGTTACTATATTATTTGCATGTATTCTACGATGTTTTACAACGGTGTCGAAACTCTGTGATGTCAAGCGGGTCCTGATGAGGAAAAATCAAATAGACAAGGGAACTGAACACAAACCTGCCATAGCGAAACGCGAATGTATGTATATCTGGTAGCTGTTAACGATCATGGTACTGCACTGAAAATAACTGGGCACGGAGCATTGAAGCAATTAAAAGGGTTCTGTAAAAAGCGGTACAAAACATAACTTTTAAGTAGCATTACAATTATATGACTATACACATGTTTAGATTTATCTTAATAAGTAGCATAAGACGAAGCCATAGGAAAAATGCCGCCTATCCTTCAAGCGAAATTCTACTTACGTAAACAGGCAATCCTGAAGTAATATTGTACCTGCTCAATGCTTATTGACCTAATAAGAAGATATACGCGAGTGACGTCCATCTGCATTGTGTCAAAAGTAAGGGGGAATAACAAACTGAAGAGTAGAAAATTATTAAAATGTTTCTTCTATGAGAAAAATATCGTCACACTCCGTGATACGTGTCTAATGTACACTGATCTGATTGAAACGATGCACGGTACGAAACTAATGAAAATGTAGAGTGTAGATAACAATTGATGAAGAATGATTAATCATTATTATGATGTTTCAACGCTATTAATATTCTTAATACTTAAAATGAAGTTACCGTCGAGGCTACCCAATGCTTTAAGGATTGAAGGAGTAGCAGGAGATGATCTACAGAGAATAGTATATATACGTATATATCAAAGAACATAAAATGGCTATCAACTGAGGGAAATCTTAATTTGATTAATAATCATTGAGCAGTTGTTTTTGATCATGGTTTCAGTTAGTTTTCGAGCTGCGTGATTTCCTGCACGAATGTAACTTTCTGACGAAAAAATCGCTGCTTGTTATAAACAAAGATAGCACATATGTACTTAATAGTTACTAGATTTATGTAGAAGAAACCCGAATACCTGAACTACCCGGAAGCGTCATTTGGTCTAGATTTTTGTATTAGTAGCTATTTTTCTATTATTGAAATCTTCAAACTTTCCTTTTTTACTTATATGCGGTTGCTGATTTTTTAGTGGTACAACAGTTTGTTTCTGCTAGCAACGATTAAAAGCTGTATGCATGCCATGTCCAGAACTAAGACGACGACATAGGTTTTTTTTTTTCGATATGGTAATATGTAACTGTGGCTGAAACACGAGGAAGTAAAATGCAAGGTGTCAGCCTAGTTGATTAGTTCGGTAGAACTTCCACATAACGTGTGACCGTGTAGTAAAGGGGTGAACATCATAAGCAAAAGTAGCCAACTGTCTGAGAATAGAAATGCCACCAACAATTGGGCATGCCTGCGTGCCCCAAACGTGCATAACCCGCAGCCGGAACTGTTTTGAAGGACGCGCAAAGAATAAACAACCAGACACCACAGTACGGATTCAAATCAGATTAAACACAACATTCCATAATAAAAGTTCGACATAAAACAAATGAAAGATCGACGGCTTAAATAAGCCATTCGCAAAAGATCATGCTGAAAGATAAAGTAGACAAAAAGCTTTCAATGTACAAAGCAAAACAATTAGAATAGTAAATACTAAGCGTATTTAGCTAGCAGGCGCCGCTATCATTAAAAAAAATGACAAAGAAGCCTCAGATAGTGCTGAATAGGTATAGAGATTGAATGGTAAACTACCGGTCTCAATGAACCGAGTTGAGAACAAATCTGATCGCGAGACTAATTCAATTAGGGGTCGATTCAATTTTTCAGCCGCCATTCATCCCAGTAGAATTCTTGCAAGACATGTAGATAAGTATTTCGATAGAAGGAAAGATGGCGGAGCACCACTACTAGCGGCAGTCCGATTGCATGCTACCGGACAACAAGCGATATCAACAGTCTTCGAATGAGTGCCGTATGGCAATACTTAAAGCGATGATGATTGTGTATGTCAAGGTTAGGAAGAAAGTCAGCATAAATTTAAGCTGGCAAGGCAGAAGTAGGTGCGTGTACATGGAGTCTCACACACACACATTCATTCTTAAGGTCAAGCTAAGGTTTGCATGTTTTAGCATAGGAGGCGAACGCAAATAAAGGAAATAAAAAATGTCTGTATATTTAAATCAGTGGTCTTCAGTCTAGATTCATAGGTGTGACTACACCTTCGGTGTACTTACTGTACGACGCAGAGATCGTGCAAGTAGTACGGCTGCACAATTTGCTACCACACATGTCATCAAGTACCTGCATGCACGTTTCTGTCAAGTTATGTACACAGCTCCCAATTCATTTAATATTATGTAATAATGAGAAATATATATATGGCTCAAATATTCTGTAGTAGTTTTATTCTTTTTAAAAGTAGCTTCTGAGCTGGAAGCTTCACAAAGCAGAAGGTCCAAATTATTACGTTATGACAATGAGTTAATTCGTATATCTCTATTTTAGATTAGCGGGATAATGTCAGAGAATTCAGAACAGCTAGTACATTTGCATCTCATTTCTTATATAGAACTTCCAGCAAAGCTACTTCTAAAGAAGTGCCTATAGTTGCCAACACAGATTGCATAGAAGCTGTCGGTGCTTTGTAAAGGACGTCTTTATAATAAACATCATTGACCGCAATGGCCCAAATTTTCCGAAACAATATATAGCACGTAATAGCCCAACAGTCTTACGTAGGGCCCAACATAAAAACTGTTTGATATCTTTTGAAACGTACGGATCTGCAAGATGTGATTCGTTTAACATATATATATATATATATATATATATATATATATATAATTAGGGGTTATAGAGGAAGACAAGTTCTACAGTGATTTAAATTCTTTTTTACAGCTTTTCCAGACATCAATGGAAATGTGTCAGGAAAGCCGGTCGAGCGGCACAACAATGTACAACATCTAGTGCTGGCTTACCTATCGTTATTAAATGCAGAGTTTATGTGACTCAGTTGGTTAATTAAGGCTACCTTTTTAACATTAATTAGAAGACCTCCCATCACTGGAAAGCTCTTGAGATTCGGCATAGTCGGTATTCGGAGCACCGTAACAATTCCTTAGTTAACTCTGAATATTTCAGATTGAAATCCTTATTCTAAACGATCCACCGACAATCGACTACTGAACGGTGGAGAAAACTACTTATTTCTAAGAATCAAATTCCTATTTTATTATGAAACATCAAGCCAGAAACAAAAAGATTTTTTAAGTGTTTACGCCTGAATTACCACACATTAGACTTACCATTGGATTACTTAATATTCCAAAATCGAGGGTCCACGAGAGTATGATTTACTATGAGGTTTCCGAACATTAAGACAAAGTTCCTATACATATACATATACATATAGACATTGCGGCAACAGAAACGCATATCCGTTCAGGCCGGGATATCAATTTGGAATTTTAGTCGCTATTTTCAGGACTCAATGCCATCTTAATAAGGAAAACAGGCAAAGCATTTACGATAAATGCTTAATTTTTGATGCTAAGGTTCAACAACTTGTTTCTTGCTTTCAGCTCTCTTTCGCACTGGTTTCAACTTTTCCTTTCTAGCGACGCACTAAAAAAAAAGCTGGCAAACGTCCTATTTCTCCGTTACACGCATGAATTTTAGCACGGGTCCCTTAGTGGTAACCATAGAGCTGTTTAAGTGCCCGGCAGCTGAAAAATTTAGCCGGAAACTGAAATGGGTAATTCCTCAGCAGTTTACCTGTTTTTGAGCTATATCCGTCACTCGCTCGAGATCCAACATTCTAATAATAGACAACGTGTGACAGCTCATCGAACGGGGACTGGAACGATGTATTGCCTATTTGGTCTGCACGCTCAATTTTGAGTAGAGATTTATTCATTTATAAAAAAATTTTCATAGACGTATATACATGGCTCGCTATTGAAAGTTGGCGTATATGAGAGAGCTTGCGTAAATTAAGGAACAGGATCGAAGATAAAAATTTATAAAATGAATGCTCTACTTTGTATATGATGTGTTTAAATTAATATACTTATCTGTGTATTGGCGTGCTTGCAACTAAAACTCAAACCATAGGTTCAATCACAATTTTTTGTGTGCTTTTTCCTGTTTTTCTTTTCTGACAAAAAGGTTGGCAGGTTGCGCAAATGAACCTTTGATGATATAATTATTTTTTGTTCATTATAATGGGTGTACCACGTAGAATTCAAAGAGATAGTGGATAAGATACGAATGAACAAGGGTCTACCTATGAAGATACTTGGGGGCACTCGTGCATAGCTATTGATTGTTAACAGAAATGTTGACGCTGTAAAACTTTCTAGTTTCGAATAACGTTGCAGTTTACTTAGTACCATAACCTAAACTGCGCTACATACAATATGAGGGCTGTTTGTCCCATGTTAGAACTTCATAAGTTTACCACTCTGTCGGACCTTCCCTACTAGCCTGTATCAACTATCTTATTCTTTACAACAACGATTTGAGGAGTAACAATATTTTAGCTAATAGATGTAAAAGCGAAGGTGAGAAGTCTGTAGCCGTATCATTCATAACCATGTGGCACAATCGATTTACTGAGCAAATTAATTATCGGTTTCCTTTATTTTTCAGAGGTAGTTTCTGAATACGTCGGAGAAAACGGCCCACCCCTAAACTGATTGTCACGTTTAGCTTAAATAACAAGAAAATTTTCTCGACCTAACTGGACACATGTAAGGACTGATAGAATAATAGATTTGGTTATATACGCTAAAAGTGAGCCCCTTGATTTCTCAGATAAACACATTGAGCAAAGGGGGAATTGGCGAAACAGGCTGCATTGCACGAGGGAATATCGGAAGAGGCCAGTCGAAAAATCGCCAGGTAAGAAGAACTTCATTAAGATGATTTACAGATTAAGATTTACACACAGCTAAGCTTAATCAATTTCTAACCACACAAACAAAACATAGCATGTAGAATTTGTAGCATTTCAGGCAATACAGTAAAGGTGTGTCAGGTGATATCTACCCTGGGTAAACGCTGGGAGCCAGCGGTCTAAAACGAGCTAACATTCGGAATATCTATGTAGATAAAGACACCGCTAGTACTCTGATAAATATATTATCAACGGTTGCTGACTATCAACGATATGATTTCCAGTTGCGCATAAACTTAATTCAACTGTTCATAGAGCGAAAGGATTCATTATATAGTGGTAACGACTACAGTCTTAATGCTAGGTCTGCTCATATAGCTGGCAGCCATTTTTCGAACGGTGAACGTGAACAACAATGCGCTCTGAGCTACGCTTAGTCACTAATTAAAAATGGTAACATAGTTTTATATATTGTTGCCACCTCTGTTTACTGATCAATGGCGCGTTAGCCTCTGCAAGCCAGCATAGTTTGTAAGTAAAGAGAGCTTAATTTCTAAATTATGTCGCGTTCGTTAACTTTCCATCGTGCGAACTCAAATTCGAGACGGGATAAAACTATAAGAAGTTCTCTCAAATAAAACAAAAATAGAATTGGGTTATTTTTCGCTAGTTTATTATATTCTTTTTCGAAAATGATCAGGCAGCATATTTGTACTTGCAATATTGCAGTGTACGAAATTACATAATAAAAAATAAAAAGCGATCTTTATTCCTTCTCAAAATAACGACACTGAAATTAGCTACTACTTAATAGACTTATTCTAACCAAGATTTAATCCCGCTAACCTAAGCTTGGTATCTTGGAATTAAAGTATGCAATGCCGGTTTTTTAGTTGATTTGCTGCCGTTAGTGTTTTGTCTAAATTACAGACGTTGTTGCCGAATTACCTTCGAACGAAAATAGAAAACCAGAACCATATAGTGGTTTTGCACTTGTAGGCAGAAAAATTTTCAATTTCATATATATCGATGGTCTACAAGTGCAAAACCACTGTATGGTTCTGGTTTTCTATTTTCGTTCGAAGGTAATTATATATAAAATGTATCGACGACCCACTCGCAGTGGCCGATATATCCGCGGTAACTGCGTTTCCGAATGGAGAAATTACATGAAACGGGGCCAGAAAAAATCTGAGTACAAGCTTCCAATCAGGATTCACCTGTGTGGCGTGGAACACTCTGCATAAACTTTGCAATTTGGCCGTCTAATTGTTGCAGTGACGTGGTGCCGACCTCCAAATAAGCGTACAAGTCGTTTACGCGCGATTAGGACTCGATATGCAAAATTTGCTTTTTACATGAAAATAACCGAAAATGGTCATGGGTTAAGAGTAGAGCGTTTTAAGTAAGGGTGCCATTTGCAAAATCTTTCCAGTTTAGATCTACGGTACGTGCCAACGGAGAGGTAGGACCAGTCAGACATCGAAGCGCTACGCTGTCATAGCATCTTTTTAATGAAAAAGCATTTGATTTTCACGCTTTATGAGAGTCCGGGAGCCACATCGTGGATTACATTAAACCTGTAACTGATTCTTCCAGACTAGAAAAGCTTTCAAGCAAAAGGCGCGGTAGTTATTTAAAGAGAAATGGGCGAAACTTTGACAGTCTAGTATCAACGAGCTTCTTCCAATTGGAAAGCTGATGTTCGAAATCGATGCTTTGCACAATGGGGAGAAATAGACAATGAAAGGTTGCAGTCTTTATAGATAATGCTCTCAAACTAATGAAAGTGCGTTTGATTAATACAAGATACTGTTGTTCCGCCGTTGTTTCAGTGCTCGCGTTTTCCACTTATAAAGCCTACCTTGAAACTATTCTTTTCGTCTGGCTTTTATGAAAATCAGGGAACGTTCTTAATCTAGAAAGCAGTTGAATAAGGAGTCTGCCGGTGACGGTCAATATTATAGTAGAATTCATTATCCAAAGTTTCCATCCTATCCAAAGAGAGGCACATCTCAAATGACTCGGAAAAGCATTTAGCCACTCATTTGTCCTTTACAGAATCAAACAACTTCAAGGTGCAAACGCAAGGACGCTTACAAAGGAAGGTGAACACTGATCGACTGCAGTACTACTAACGACGGAACAAACAGTTCCTCAAGTGTAGCCCTATTTACAGGTAAACTTATTTTATCATTCATACAGAAGGTTCGTAGACCAACGCGATTGGGTGAACTTAGCTGTTTAAATAAACATAAAGCATACATCAGAAGTTTTCATTAATTGTATCGTATGGAACGCCAAACATATTTCCCTATTTCTGTACTATTTTTTTTTTTAAAGTTATTAGATATGGATTTGAGGCAAAAGAGACATGTGGCGCCGGTTTATAATAGTCCGCTGATAGTTTTTGATAGTACGATAATTTGTCGTGGAATTCCCTTTATGGCTTGGGCATTGGATTGTGATGGGTGACAAATGCTAAGGATAACCATTAGAAAATATCTACTGGGTACGCTTGTAGGATGTTCGCTAATAGGCACCGTATATGATATTTCAGTTGTTCTAATCACTGGAACTATTTGGGCCCTTGAACGTCTGTCAAACAATTTGTTACGTTCTTAAAAACAAAAAGGAAGAGTACAAAAGATAAATTAAGATATAACCGGAAGCAAAAAGCACTTCTAGCAAACATCTAATTAAAAGCGAAAATTCAATTTTTAATTTAGCAAATATAGCATCGTGTTTAATTTTTCGATTTGCAGAACGAGTCGAAAATGTCTCAGAAGCGTATATGGCAGGTTTGTACTACGGACAATATATGTGACGATTTTTAAACCAGGCTTCGATTAAGCTTAAGGTAGGGAGGATCAATTGTTATCTACTAGGCACCTGACTACAGAAGTTCCAATTTGGGACCTTTGTCTCCAAAGTACTACAATCGAGGTAACTGCTTGAAGATTTATACTAACTAAGTTGTAGTTTATTTTCGAGAATCCCACCGCGCTATTTTAAAAAATGACCGTCACGGTAACAGTCATGTAGTAATGGTTTGCAGCCATTTTGTCAATTTTGGAAAAAGAACAAAAGCAGAATTGTTCCGATGTCCTGCGAGAAGTCGTTCAGTGCGTAAAGTGTCTTTCTGATAATTTCGCTAAGTGTGAAGGTTTCGACTAGTTCCCTGTACTGTAAATCTGCATAAATTGTCCGTGATAAGCGTACGACGCTATGAAACGCTGTCCAGTCCTTTGCATGAATAAATCGCTCGCCTTGTAGATACGCTACCAGAAACAGTTCGTATACAACATGATAACGTACGGACACTTGCTATACGTTACGCATTACAAATTAGGTTTGTTAATTGTGAAATAAACATACGTCTAGGAAATTTTTGTACTGGTTCCCGATAATGCGTCGAGTTTAAAGCAAGCGTTCGTTTATGCGATTATACTCAACTCGAAAAATTTAGGCATACGGGATACATGTTGCGTTTTACACTCGGTGTAAATAAACGACTATTCTAATAAGCAGATGCGTTCGCAGTTTCAACAAGCCGGAGGTTGGGGGCTCTTGATTCCGCAAAGTAACTTAATGAGAACTTAGCTTACTTAAGCGGCGTATAGATGAGTTGGTTACTGTAGCATTGCGACGCGCCCTATTTGCGTCAGGAAGTACAAGTTAGGCCAAAGAGCGACCTTTTAATTAAATGTTCAAGAATTGTTTCCGGCGCGTCCAGATGCAAACTTGGAACGCAGAAATACTTCCAGAAAAGTATGTTTTACTACACATCGACGATGTATCCTTGAGGTCATTGCGAAGTGAAGCAATTAACCTTGTTCTATTGAAGATACACACATTGGTTAAACGTGTAATCACTCTCTATATATGTATATGTATATACGTATATATATATATATATATATATATATAATGAATGTATCCAGGAGATTGACCAGAACAACAGATCTCGCGCTCGTCTGGGAGAACTTGAAGTACAACAAGGTGAACACCTGCAACCGGTAAGCAAGAACTTCTAACATACTAAAAAAAACTATTGTTGCATTGTAGGGCACTTGTGTTATGTGAACAATGTGATGAAGGCGTGACATAAGTACAGCTCACAAAGCGCGCGATGTTGCCAGAAGTTTAAATCATCCCCAACTGTTTACATTTTGAGTATTGTATATAGCTGCTTCACAGACGCGTGACGTGTTCGTATGGTTAAACATTCAGCAGATTTAAAAGCGCAACGATCGTTTACCCCATGGCCGAAACGACATATTGGAGCATATGCATTTTGCTGATTTTAATGGAGGACACCATAGTGAAATCTGTTTTTGCCTGCTAACTACTAATGTCATAGTGTACAGAACATACAGGTTCCGTCCGGTGTTTGCACTTAGTTTCCGTAAAGGTGTAAGATAACAACTTCAGCGTTTAATAGAACGTCAAATTGGTTGGTTATGGTCGAACTTTTCAATTGCAGTTATTGTAAATAGTGCAGTTCATACTGCACTAATGGGTCTCTTTTGCCGAGCTAGATAGCTAGATAATGTTATTGCTTGCTTCTCACTCACGACTGTTCCTGAGTCAGTTAAGATTCAGAGAGGCTGAAAATCATTCCCTAGTCCACGCGTGCACTCGTGCGAAAATGAACGTTGCCTCAGTCTCAACTGTGTTGTAAGCTCGGTATGTCTTGATTGCTGCCCTCTTGGTAATTAGATCAGACTTAGCTTTTTCTCCGCATATAGGCGTACAATGGAGTCAACCATGATGGCAAGCATATAATATTTCCTGCTTTCTTTGACTTTGGCATGGCCCTGATAAGATCAACATTTCATATGACTGTCTCGCATCCTTGCTATATCCTTGCTACTCTGTTCCAACCTCTTAAGCGCTTAATGTCTAAACGCCCCTTATTGAAACCAGGCCTCTAGCTATTTGCCGCAATAAGGCGGAATCTTAGCCAGCGTTTTCTAAATGCAGTATTTATGAAATTTACAACCTCTCTTTGCCTAGTTCTGCATCAATATTTGTTTCAATGTTAATTCAATTTCTTTCTGTTGAAAACGCGCTCGGGAGAGCTCTGCTTTTATTTTGTTCGTTTAGTTCCTTGAGCTTCATAATCTGTGGCAAGATAAGCGGAAATCTAGTGCATAACTTTCTTGGCTTCCGAAGCATCAATTTTATTATGGCATCCGCTTCTACCTGGACGTCTTGCTTTTGTAGACTTCTGATGATACAGATGTCTTTGCGATTCTGAAGTTTATATACCGTGTTCTGTAGAGGTTTAAATCAAGTGCTAGATCTTTAATGCTCGCAGTGTACCATTTTTTGGTTTCGGGCCTTCTAATCTCGAAAACGACTGGTGTTATGCTAACTTCTAATGCAACCCACGTTCTCTCTAGCTCTCGCTTGGGCCGACTTTTACATCCTTTTCCGCTTTTCGACCATGATGTTCTATGGTACCGCTGTATTCATGACCGTGAATCGGGCTGGTTCGAAATGCTGTACTGATGCGAAAATTGAGCTTTTTTTCGGCGTAACTTATTATTTCGATTTCGTTGCTTTTTATCACATGGGAGTTGCGTAAAGAATCTTGGGACCCGTCACTGAGGCAAGAAATTTCCTACTTATCTTGTTTCCTTGACATTCGCATCAGAAAATGGCATCTCGTCCTCTGCTAAGGCTCTGAATAGTTTCCCCTTATAGCGTGCTCTATGTACTAGGCTTTGTCCAGAGGTTTTTGGTCCTTGGCTGCCCCTTAGCCCTTTGTCTCGCATCACTTCCGGCTCTGGAGCCTCTTAGACGCAACAATGGAAGCTGTCGGCTGCACTTTAGACTTCGCAGCGTTCGTTGAATCTTCTCGCTGCCATCTTTTACCTATTTTTAGTTTACTCAAATAGCTATAGTGCATTAAAGATATGAATCTTATTTGCCCCGAATAAGACCACGTTCCAATCCACGGCTCGAGATAAAAACATGCATTACTTTCATAAAAGCACCCAAGGAGATATCTAGTCTTTTTTCTTTCTAAGCGGCCGAAGAGTCAATGCAACGTTCCTAAACCAAAAAAAGCTTATATGAGATTGGTCAATCGATAAACCTTGGTATGAAAACCAGCTAGTCGTTTGTACACCTTCGAAATCAGACCTTCTGGCTCAGTAGATTTTATAGAGTGGCTGGAAAGTAAGTTCGTCACTGCTTGAACTGGCCTCGCCGCGCTGTCTACTGCTATTTTATCACAGTTACCAGGATCTCTTTCCGAGTGAACTCAAAACTGTTCCAGATATCAATGGCTGTCTCTTCGTGTTGATAACTCCTGTTTGATAAATTGATTAGGGGTTTTAGGTTGCGCTGCATCTAATTTACTTTTTGCGGACCTTCTCCTGTATTTGTTTCGGTGTCCTTTCCCTATGGTTTGCTTTTTTCACATTCGATAGATTTCTGCATTCTTTGCTTGGCTTAATCATCATGTGCAGATTAGTTCTGACTTTATAGAATCTACCAGATTGCTCTATTGAAGCGTTTACGCTGACTGTAGTTCAAACATCTTTAGCCTTGGCTTGCTTGGCCGACGCGTTGCAGCTTTTCCCAAAGCTTGAATGCTCACCATGTTCTATCAAGCTTTGCAAACGTGCCTCGAACTGCTTAATAAGATATTATTGCTTTCGGTTATTTTCTTTTTTATTTCTGCTATGAGTAAGCGCTGAGAATCAGTGAGTGTAACGTAAAGGACCTAATCCGGTGGGTCCTGCTGTACTTACATGAAGTTTCTCCAACGAACTGCGTAGTAACCACTAGGATTCAAATGGCGCCGCGCTACAGGTGCATGCATTAGAGCCTCTTTGTCATTTGCCTGTAAGGGAATAAGGCCCTCTACTTCCGTGGAAGTGAGTTTTCGGTTGATATACAACCTCACTAAGACATTTCAGTGTAAATACTTCCCTTTCATATTTTACAAGAACAGAACGATGATAAAGAGACCACGCCTTCTGGTTTTACTAGTTTGCACGTTGGTTTTTACCGCGTCCAGCTTTTTCACTACCGTTTAGCTTCACGTTTGGTTTTTTTGGTTTTTCTCCACGTCCTTTCCTGCGTCCACTATGTCTATGTGTTCAACACAGATAATCTGTTTGGAAAACTGAGTGTCATTTCTGATCTTTTAAGATGGACCGCACTTGCCCTCCGTTATTCCGGTAATACAATTTCCTTTTGGAATTCAAATAGTTCGTCGGTTGCTAGATTATATGCACGTTGAACGTACATGCTATAAGATATTTGCAGTGTTAATCTACTGCTGATAAGTCTTACCGGTGTGGCGTTCCCGTGTATTGCTACAACATGTCTGACCGCCAATGGGCGCGACAGCAGCAGAATTTCCAACAGCTGGTATGGATACCACGTAAAGCTTGCGAAGCGCGCAGACTGCATTTAGTAACTTCTGATAAATCAGGTTCCTAATTTCGAAATAGTAATCGCTAGATTACTTTTTTACTAGAGCAGCGTGCTTCACGTTATTACGTAATCCAAGCCCGCGAATGGGTCACGATTCGCATTGGACTCAGCTGCAGTGAGCTTCTTCGAAAGCTGGTTTTTAGTCTGCGACATTTCCCTACACCCAAGATATTTCGTTGGCATTCTGATCCAAGCTGCCTGAAGATGGGTCTAGAAGGATTACGTCAACTTTCTATCATCACGTCGTTCAAGTATCCGTCTGACAAGTCGGGCATTTCTGCATATCAGTGATAGATAATGATAGAGAACTTGACTGTGTGGCATCTATTTTGACTAACGTTATGAAAGACATTAAGAAGCGAGCGAAGCGGGAGGTGGCAACAGCGACGAGCGTGCGGTTTTTTGGTGTTTTCTTTCCTTTCGGTCAGACTATCCTACTATGGAATTAGGTAGTGAATGCTTGTGAGAATTGTTAGTGGATCGAACCTATCCTATATAAAGATGGCTTTGTTACCACCTTTTCAAACCAAGCGTTTGCGATGTACCGAATAATGTGGTCAGTGGCTGATCAACAATAATAAACAAATTGTTTATTTCAAGCTGGCTCATATGCTTTTGATGGACATCTGGAGCAAAATTGCCAAATAATTTAAAAAAAAAAATACGAACACGAGCTTGAACGCATGAAGCGAACGTTGACAATCAGGAGAACAGCAACGTCTAACTAGCTTTATAATGCGACGAGTTCAATTGAGTTGGAACACTATACTCCAATAATGACCAATCTGTTCTGTTGAAATTTAAAGGGGATGCAAGTAATTCATTTAAAATGAGACTATTCACTTGACAGGAGAAGTTTAGACTGAGCTTAAATCTAAAAATGCGTTTTCTACATGCGTCCCCTCACTAGAGCGAAAATCCAGGAATAGGCAATAGCAATATTTAATTCAACGTTAAGCAGCGAATGCAGAAATATATTCTATATGTAGAAGTGGCGATAGATCGATACATAATTTTATTTAAAAATGAGATGTCTAGGAAAAAAAAAAATACATGCTAGTAGGATGTACTAGCATGTAGTTCTCAATTGCTAGTTTCCTAACCATTATCTATAGCAAATCTTGTGTTGTATGGCCTAGCTTTGTCTTCAATGACGTTTACGTAATAAAAGGAAGGTTGGGGTTAATCTGAATGGGGGTGTCTGGTTAAAGTGAACGTTACTTAGTATTATGAATCGAGAACTGCGCGAACGTAAGTTTCTTCAGATCTCGAAGTTAAACCTCAAATGTCTCAAATTCAGCCTTAAACCACTAACTGATTAGGAGAAGAAAGTTTGCGTTTTGAGAGAAGTGAAATTTGACTTCATTAAACTTAATCAGTTCCAAATTTATTTGGTAAATAAGTTTATTTCTTAATAGATGTGCATTGCTGCACCCGTGTTTTCATTTAGAACAGGTTCAGCTATTGCCCACAGTCGAATATGGTCACTAAAATAAGCGAGATAAAGGGCATTGAAATAAATATTAGAAAGAATATGTTGAACCTAAAGGGAATTCTAATGTTTTCTTTTGCACCCATGTTCCTTGGTAAAAAAGCTATTCCTTGTGTTAGGTACAAAAATATAAGGTCAGCAAAATTACCTAGACATTTAATGAATTCATATTAGTATATATACATAATTTATGTAAATATCGTTACATTATTTTGTAAAAAAATGTCCATAAAAGAATCCGTCTAGCATAATACTATTTAGTCTTTAACATGGCGTGTTCTATGCAAGAGCTAACTGAACTCTGAATAATCCTGATCAATCACTTGGCCAATTAAAAATTACTAATGAATTCATTACTTACTAGCCAAATTTGGAACCAACAATTCCAGTTCTAAGCATCATTCCAACTTTCAAGTTTATTTTTTTAAATTATAATTTTTATTTTTATTTTTTTTTTAATTTAATATTTCCTTGTTTAGTATTAACCAAAGCGCTTCGTAATAATTATGCAAATATTAAGCTTCATTCAAAAGTTGCGTATCGATTTCAATATGAATGTTTTTATTAATAATCTTTTTTTCAAAAATACCCTGTCCGTGAACTCCGTGTTTGTCAGACCATTTTATATAGTCTTTACAGTATAATACTCCTTTTGATAGATATATCCGTTTCTGAACAATAAGGAAAACTCACTATTGTGGCATTATGTGTATCATTGGATCTCTATATTTTATAGTACAGTCTCACTGAACCAGACAATTTCAAAATTATTTTTCAGATCCTATATAATTTCAAGACATTATTTCTAAATTATTATGCTTACCTGTGTCCCGGCACTGTGCCGTCCAAAGCCGATCACAGCGCTATAACGGTATCCACTCGCTACAGATATTATTTACGTGCTCGAGACTTACCAGTTGATTCTTAGAACCTGAGTTTGTAGTAAATGAGCTTATTTACTTTTTATGTATATAGAGTTATTTCTCAAAGCGTCGACCTTAATTCTAACCATACTATGTTTGTCAACGCTTGCTGATTGCATATGATCATTTTAAATCAAACTGAAGTATCAAAATCGGCATCTCCTAAAGCTTAGCGACCAACTTGACGCGGAGATCGCTAGAAGTAAAATACGTTCAGATGAATGGCAAGTAAGGAATACTTGTCTGAGAAATGCAAAGGAAGCACTAGGGCAACAGCTTGCCAAAATGGTCGCAACTACTTCGAATGTTGACTTAAAATCACTGGAAGAAAAGCAGAAAAAGCTAGAAAATGAAAATCGTGATCTGGAAGAACAGAAAGCAAAACTCAAGAAGCAGGTCAAAGAATTGACCCAGCAGCAGCAGGAGTTTAAACAAGAAAAAGAAACATTAGAGAAGTTAAATGGAGTAATGGCAAAAAATCAGACCAGACTTGCCAACAATTTCTCCCAAGCTCAGGAAGAAGCTACGCGTTTAAGGAAGGACTGGAATAACAGTAAGCTACTATATGAAAAGAAGATTGCGGAACTGAAAGAACAGCTCGCCGAAAAGGTACACAGCGAGAAAATTGAAAAGGCCTCAATGAAGAAAGACACATGATTGCCGACAACGAATAAGCGATTTCCTCGACAATGTAAGCTTTCAAAACAATATTTATTTAATTATATATTAGATAGCATAGGTCAGGCGTTGCTGCATTCTCGCTAACGACAAGGCCCGTGTTGAGACTAAGTACGATAGAAAATTACGAGGTTTGGTCCGGTGAAGCTAAATATAGGAACTAGTGAATAAACAACGGAAGTTCATCGAGTCGTCCATGAGCCACGGGTATTAATGCATTTCCTATACAAAAAGAAAAAAGAAACGTATGTGGACGCTGGTCTACAAGAGGAGTTACATTTGTGCCACATTACTGCTACTTAGACTAACAAACTCAGGTGAATCTAAAATAGTAACATTAGAACATCGCGTCAAGCCTGTGTATCTCTCTCGCCTATAGTATTTAAACGGTTTAGGTCGTGTTCTTCCGAATATTAACGAAGCTTCAAAGAAGGCATTTCGGAGATAGAAAAGCGAAGCGGAGAACATTTTTAGTCCGTATTTATGATTTTATTTCCGCGTAAAATTCCACCTTATGGAAATTATAGATTCGAGCGAATTTTTAAACCATTTCAATAAATATTCACATATTGCGGAGCTACACTGTGAGCAGTGTGACTACCGTAGAGTATATGTAGTATGAAATCCAATAACCAACAGCTATATTACCTATTCATGCAGAAGTTCTTACCCTTTAAAATGTTTTATTGCCGAAAACTATCGTTGCCTAGCTGACGTCTGTCTAGTGTGAGGCAAATATCTGGAATGGACAAAATAATACTAAGTTCCCCCAGACAAAATAATCAAGTTCCCCCAGTATCCCAACCAAAAATATTGCAACAAATAGGAATAATCTTTAGTCTAAAGAAACATGCAGCAACGCCAATAACAGAACATTGACGTCCCAGTGGCTAATCAAAAAATCTATATTGATTTTTCATTTATATGCAAATATCGTACGACATGGTAAGGCAGAAAGCTGACAATGGAGTTTTGTGGCTGATCTTTGACCTCTATTAACCTCATTTCCGTATGTCGCACGCGATCCAGGCAAGTACGGAACCTAAGCGAATTCAGGAGTACCTTTCTGAGCTAGTTTCCACGTGCATGGACAAACGCTTGCGAAAAAAATAGCATTCTAAAGATTTGTGGCAAGTTACCCTTTAAACCTAACCTGCTGAAATCTGAAAGGAACAGTATGAGAACTGCCCTCGTGTGATACCGTGATGCCGCCAAGTCGTCGGTCATGTTGTCTATAAATAAATATTTAGATAAAATGAACGTTGCGTTATTACTTAATGAAGAATGACTCTGCAATTTTAAGCAAGAGCAAATTGCACACATTCAGTCAAAGCAAAAAGAAATTGCTATTAAAGCGTGTATGAATATTCCGTCTTCTCACAAAACACATTCTATATATGTTACCTCAATAAACTTGAACATTGTGGTTTTTTTTCCTAATATGAAAATCGCAAGCTAAAGGTGTGTGTAAGCATATCCCATACATAAATTGTTATATTATATCGTTTACCCTCAAAGCCACGTTCTAGAACAATGACTTATGGAACCGCGAGTGATTTAATAACACGTGTTGAACGTAACTTCTATTTAATAAAAAAGCAAATTCCCTTTGTCCCTTGTATTCTCGATCGAACCTATGGGTACCTTCTGCCACTGCCACTTATACAACCTTCGTACGTCACCTAAGTCTTTGGTAAAAAAACGTGTGCCCTTTTATGTTTCTTTTTCTATGTAGTGCCTCTTTAAAATCTCTTCCGACGACAACCCAACGGAAGCCAGAATGTTTCCTGAGTTGAGATAAACCTGCCTGTAGGCGAGCAGTACACAAGAGATACTCTTCAACGAATTCTGGCTTACGGAAGCGGCGTTATTTTGCATTATACTGATGGCTTGTGTGTCGAGAAAGAAACTGCTGGTAAACTATGCGATAGCTAACACTGACATATTGTACGTCAACAATTGTATAATAGCTCGCTATAATCTAGTTTCATCGGATCCAGCATTTCGTGCTCGTACCTCATGTTATGTACAGCCAACGCGTTTCGTCTCAACGTCTAATACGACTGTTGCCGTCGCTGAATAACTACTGAGAAAGATTGTTTCTCAGACATTTTTCATTGTTGTCATTATATTGTTCGGGAAATTTTTGAAAAGACTCCCATCACAGCTTCAAACGTATGGGTGGAAGATTTTCCGAGATTTGTGTCATGCCGAAAATCAAACATTCACAGTAATATATACTGAAGAACAGGATGCCTTTGGCACGGGGATGGTGTACTGACGGTGACTACGTCTTCATGCACGATGGGGCGCCTTGTCATAGATATCGGCGTATCCTAATAATATTCAAGTGCTGCCGCAGTTTGCATATTTGGCTGATGTTAATTCTATAAAGAACACCTGGAAGATCGTGAAACTATGGATTCGTCAAATACAGAAAATATCAAGCGGATACTTAACCACTAATCTGTGACAACCGGATCCGGTTAATTGTGAAAAACTCCATCAGAAGTACAAGAGGCAACATTTGCAATTATAATCCACCCTCAATCAGCAGTTTGAAAATGCCTGCCAATTCTTTATGGACCCGTGGGATACCACTGTGTTCCCGTGATAGCCTAGTGTGTAAAGTATCTTCACCCTACTTTTACGGATATGTTGTAGTGTAGGTTCGAATCCGGGTATAGATAAACTTGGTTTCGTACAGGGAGCCAACTGTCTGATAAGAACGCCTTACAGTGTGATAGTGGACGTAGAACTCGACGTAAACGTTCAACGAAAACTCAAAACGAGTACCAGTAGAGTATTTTAGTAATATGAAGGACGCGTTTACTGAAGCACCTAGTACGAAAATACTGCATTTTTAAGCTATCCAGTAATACCTAAAATCTCAATTGAACACGTCGATTATATAATTATGACCGTGTATGTAAGACACTGTAAGAAAAAAAAAACTCGTACGGTTAATCTAAATGGGATACAGCGGTATTCTGCGTAAGTACTCATATCAGTCACGTACTTCTTAGGGAATATTTTAGCTCACTGGTAAATAATTCACTGGTATATATGCTTTGAGCGAGAGCACTCTGTAGTGTAGTTCCTAGTGTGACGCGAACCGTAAGCTTCGTTTCATTACGATCTAGTGGGATTTATGATAATGGATCTAGTTTTTGGTGAAGGTCGTAGTGACACGCTAGTAGTACCACACTGCCTGCGATTGCTATGGGCCTTTCCAATAACTTGGATAGTTTTCTACAACTTCGGTTGAATACGTATATACGAAGGTAAGTGGGTCCCTGTGACACAACTCAAGAAGCCAAAGCTACAGTGGACAATCGGAATTCCACGATAAAGGCCAAACGATTGTCGTCGGACGGATGTGAACATATGTAGGTTTGTGATGAAAGTACAGTTTACGTTGTACGAGGTAATAAAATAGCTGCATTAGCCAAAATGAATGCCTCAGATACGCATACATACTTTCTTACTGGCAATTTCCCTTGAGGACTTAGTACTTCTGATGCTAAACGAGTATTATCACCCGTGTAGGTAGACGCTGACTTAAGGAAAGCTTGATGAAGCGAACAGCTTGATGAACACGAGATTATTGCTTTTATCGAATAAAGTCTTCATGCTAAAATAATCCCAATGAATGAAGATAGGGCGATGTTTTACTACCATTCGGCTAGATATTGATTGTTGAAGTTGTGATAAGAACAAAACGTACATAGTTAGCAACAATTTTTTCGTAAATAAACTTTATTTCTAATATACTATAAAAAAAAAAGACCAATGGGTTTTCTTTAACGTTATTCTGTCTGACGTTTCGCCAGGTGACGTTCGCGCATTTGAAATATTTTGCAGATTTGGGTTGCAATAAAAGGTTTATTTATTATATATACACAATATATGAACCACTTAGTGCTAATTATTCAGCCCACCCCATTGATTTTACGCCTCATATCGCACCTATTATTTATTAAAATACGTACCTGCTTTATGAAGCATGAAAGTAACCTAAAAATGGTTTCAGGCTACTGGCTCTCCACCCTTTAATCCTAGACCACCTTATAAGTTTTATGATGCAGTTTTCTGCAGTGTAAACGGCTTTTTGATATCGAGTAGAAACAACGCCACGGCGTCTAAATTAAACTATTGATAAAAATATTTGATATTATTAAGCACAATCTTTCATAACCGCCAATAACGTAAGTAGTTATTTATATAATTCATTCAATAAATGTATACTTAAAACAAAAACAAATATTCTGACTCGGTTGTATTGTAAAGAAAACACCATATATCTTTTACTTAGAAATCAGAGGTAAAGAAGTATATAGGTATATATTACATATATGCCTATATACTTGTTTGTTGTTTTTCTTCACAACATGAGTCAATATGTCATGGAATATATTTAGTTTCAATGTGCATTTTCAAGATGGTACCAACTATTAACTATGATTTTTGTACGAAACGTTCTGTTTAATAATAAAAAGTTCTAATTTCCTTTTGTAGCGTCTGAAGCAAGTAAAGATTCAGTACCAAAAACGACACACAATTGAGCTAAGCAATGTTCCCCATGAGTGCACCCGTATAGGCACATTGTAGAGGTAATATAATGCACATGATCCAAACCTCGCTTCCCGTGTAATGCGAGGTCTTTTCTAAACCTCCCACACAACGAAATTGCACACTATAGTAAACACTAGGCTCACTATCTGTATTTATTGCTACAGGCCGTGGTCATCGCTTACCACATTATACTATTATATTATTATATATTGATATTATTACACAGTCGTTATGTTTATTATTGTTTCAATGGAAATCGGTATAGCTAGAAGTCCATTCGTGCACGAGGATCTCTTTTTGCGGGCGGATAATATTCGCAATGATTGACATACGCTTCAAAATCGCGTACGTAAAGTTTCCGCCCGCCAGTCTTTGGGGCCAGCATCCTCATTGGCGGAATTGGTTGATCAATGTCTAAATTATATTTCTTAACATCCTTCTGCTGAAGTTCCTTCCAGATGTCTTCTCCACCAACACACTCTTCGAGTGCGACTTGACCATGGCCGACAATCTGCACCGACAGCTTCCTTCGGTCACGACCTCTTGCAGGCAAAACTCGGAGAGCCCATCGACGGAAACGATTAAGGTCTAATGTTCGCAAAAACTTTACCTCAAACTGGTTCTGCTCAAACATATAATCGAACTGTACTATTCGCTCCCAGTGTCGCCGTTGCTCCCCCGCGATGGACAGATCAGTTCGTTGTTTAGCTTTTATCAGAGCATCTCTGACCATGTTGAACTCAGCCTGACCGAGTTCTGTTATCATCCTGATCATGCTGTCGATGTAGTCATCGATTTTTTCATCGACATAACTTAACGTGAACTTATAAGCCGCTGGAGATACGGAAACTATAAAGCCGATAACCCCGCCACAGTTATACATGCTGCAGCAAGCATCATAACCAAACTGCTGCTTCGTCCGCAGCTGTATAATACAGTGGGGTTCCATAAGCTTTACCAGTATTTGCATCATTGTTTCCTCATAGAAGTGCGCCGGCCCATAGATATAATAATTAACGATTCTCGAGCTCTTATCCTCCGGGTTGATGCCCAAGCATCGGACATACGTCTCTCCAGAAATGACGGGCGAGTGCTGATTCATCCTTCTGTCAAGAGGAGAGGCTGAGAATTTCATTTCCACTCTAGATATAAGATCGCGTGCTTCGGTTGATGTAAGGTTTCCATGAACATATGCTTCGACAAATGCAGTAGCACAAAGTCGTCTTGTATTGTCGATAACGTCGTACTTTGTTATAGATCTAAGTGCCTCTCGTCGTTTGTCCACCGTGGTGCTCCTATGGATGACGGCTGCGCAAACCTCGTAGCCGTAACGGCTGTTTGTCAAAACCTTATTGTGGTATAGTTTTCCAAGTTTGAGCTTAATCATGTGGAATAGATCGTCGGAAAAATCGAACCGAATTAAAGCATCTAAAACATTTTCAAGCAGCACAGGCAGTTTATGGTTAAAACCTCCAACACAAATTGTCGTTCCCCAGTTGAAGCCGTTAACATCAGATAGAAGTGAGGCCATCTCTGCGTAGTTGTTGATAGGACCTAGTCGTTGTACAAGCGCGTGCGTCATAATCTCGACACATATAGCGCCTTCGATCGACATGTATGGTAGCATTGTTATTAAGTGTAAATTTACAAAGGCTCTGGGTACAAAAAATTTCTGATCCTTGCGATACCACAATCGAGCCCGCGGTCTATCAAGGATAACCACAGGATACGGCTCGCTCCCATATGAAGCTTCTTGTTTAATTGACAGATCAGTTGGACGATACTGATTAGGTTCGGGGACGTTAAATTGTTTCTGAAAACTTGGATCATCATTCCATAGCTTAGTCCATTCTTCAGGGTAGTCCTCAATCTTGTATATTGCCCCCATACATGGCTCGCGATGCACAAATTGGTCCGAGTCCTTATGAAAATTATGGTTTAAGAAAATTGTGTTACAACAATCTGGAGTTAGTTGATTCATTAGATCCTGGATATTACTTGGATCATATTCGAAGTAGAGATCGTCGCCACAGAGAAAGTGGTCCTCGCGAAATATCTGCATTGATTTGCTCACACGACACACGTAGTCCGCTGGGTCCTCTTCGCCCTGATATCGGAAGTCTATCTGAGCCATGTATTGAAGTTCCTCCCACAGCCACCACTGTGGGCCTTTCTTTCGCAGCATATGCAAATACTGATGAACAAGCCGAAGTACCTCGCCCAGATTACTCGCTCCTTTCTCAGTTAACGTAATATTTATAGTGAAAATGGCACACATGACATTGTGGTCGAAGCCGTCCAAAACGGGTCCGGTTGCTAGATCAAAAGCCCAGTTTCGCCTACGCAAGTGATCAAGGATTCCATTGTGCCCGCCATGGCCAACGACATACAATAGGTAATCAAGAGATCTTGACATATAACGGCTACTCTGTGATGGTATGACCCAGCTTAAAATCGCCGTTAGTATTCGATTTACGGGCAAAATCTTGAACAATTTGCAAAAATTTTGATTATCTTTTAAAGGCAACTCTTTTGGGTATTCTATTGGTGTTCTTTTTTGTCGTGGAACCGGACTGAAAGAAGCTCGGACAAACTGCTCCAGTTCATCCAGGGTATGCTTCGACTGTACACATAGAGTCATGACGTCCGCCGAGTAGTAATCTGAAATCACGGGCCTGATGCAACTGTATCTTATGTCTCCTTTTTTTCAAAAGCGGGTAACGAAAGCGATGAATAATGTTTAAGGAAAAATGAGTATTATGGAATGAAGTGCAATCACTTAACGCTTGCCCACATTTTAAAAACCAAATGGTTATTTCGTTTAATCAACTTGCGTTTTCCTAAGATTTCATTGAATATCGATAGTAGTGTAAAAGACACATAGCAGACATCACAAAAAAATTTAAAAACCAGTCCTTCACTACTGATGCGATCAGAGCTACAATTTAGACCACGAATATTCAAAAAAAAAAAATCGACACTTAAGTTTGCCTGTATGGGCGTGAGATTTGTGAGGCTTAGATATCTTTTTGAAGTGTATATGAGGTATCTCGTTTACGAAACTCCCATTGACGAAGCTCTAGGCAGGAATAATTTTTCTGTTTAGAGGAGCTGCGGATAACAGATGTTTTCGAAAAGTCATGTTATTCTTTTTCGCAGTAAAAAATTAACACTAAAGTCAACTATCAACAGTTTCAGCTCTCGTGATTACATAGCAAGCGATCAAACTGAACGATGTTGTTGTGCCGTCAATATGTTTTAACGGCTCGTAAAAGCTAAAGAGAATTATGAGAAGGCAACGGATTTTTTTTGCCGCAACAGAAAAGTTCATCAATTTTTAGGTTCACAAATGAAGTGTAATTAATTTAAAATTTATCCCACTAAACTTACATTTACAATGAATTTTTAACTCGTTCTAAGTAATGTCTATTATGTAATTTTTGCACAGATATCGAACACTTCTCTTGACCAACCAAAACATTTGTCATAGGCATTGTACATTCATTCAGAAATACAAAGAACGTGCATCTTCATTGCGACAAACAGTTAATTGAACTCACTGTTATAAAAGTTGATCAGCTCATTTCGTATGTTTAAGCCTTTTTCGCGCGGTCCGTCTTTTAGCGTACTTATGTTACCCCAGACAAACCGACCCATGGGATGATCGTCACCGGCCAGTCGAGCCAAGACTTCTTTCGCTCGACGAATGTCCGACACTTGCTCCAGCTGGAACTCGCTTTCCACTGCGCACACTTCCCTATAGTCAACGAACAGGTAGCCAGAAGCATAAAACCTTTTCTTACCAGAAAGCAAGAGGCAGCTCAATTGATATTTGATAGAGATGAAGCGATTACATTGGGTTTCGCATTCTTACTTATATCGCATATTCTTCTTCTCTTAGAGACAGGAGACGGTTCGATACGGACCGAACTTCGTCCGTCGCTTTTCGCAGTGAGAGAACCTAGATACTACCGCGTTGTCTTTAATACCTACTCTTTACATATCTAGGATGTAGTTACACGTAGAGTATGGGAAGGATTCTAATGAAATTGTAACCGTTAACGGTAAACATGTCAGACATTGTTAACAGATGCAAAGGGACTTATGAAGAGGAAAAAAGGAAGTTGTTATCTAGCCGCCGACATCGTTAATCCGATAGCCGCAAAGCCCTATTTTATCAACTTCAAATAGTTGTTTTCATTTATTATACCACAAGAAATGTTAAAGGCAATACCGAAATGCGATTCTGAATACTTGTTTTCGTCGGAGGGCAGCTGAAATTTGGCTCGAAACTACACCAGGTCAACAAAAAAGTCCGCTTTTTGATTAGATGTTCTCTTTGCTTTTGTTTTCTTTATGGTGCATATACTTCTATATATCATGGCGACGTAGTCTGGCTAATGCGCATCTCTTTTTAGCGTGTTGCCATGACAACCATAGCTTACAATCATGCTGCCACATTTCAGTTTTGGTGGACGATAACCAGAAGAAAAAGAAGAGCAGGAAAAATAAGAAATTATTATTAGGAATTTAAAGTCGCTTATATGTTGCCATACCATTTCATAGGTCCTTTAAGAAAACAATTTCCTGGCAAGTCCGTGTCACCAAACCTAAGAATGTAGTTTCAAAGATGCTTTTCATTGTGGTCAGCCATCCGGGATCAATAGGATTTGTCAAAAAGTTGAAATTCATGCGACGATTAGTAATCAGCTTCATTAAATATATATATATGTATATGAGTAAATTAAATATAAAGATTAAAAAATTGAGAGTCTCGGCGCCCTATAAACCCACTGAAGTGTAACACCAAACACTGCTTGCCATTGCTTTAGAAGATGCCCTCTGCTACCGAGCTTCTACACAAAATTCTTACAGCTATTGAGAAGTGGTATCTCTACATCAGTATGAAATGAAGAGAGGCGAACGAGCGACTTTGGGAGGTGCATTTAAACCTAGAGCTACGCCAGACCCTCATGGGACCTGAGCGAATTTTATACACTGAAAAAAAAACTTAAATGATGAGACGGTCATATGAATATGTCCAGTTGCATCAAATAATTTGGCTAATCAGTAGAAAGGATCAGAGAACCAAGCAAAGTCATCTTTCTACACAATAATACCACGCCGCACATAACCGTTAAGTCTGATCTGTAAAAACTTTAACTCTTCGTTTTACGTTGACATCGTACCAACGAATTACCACCCTTTGTTATTAACCGAAATTCAAGAATAAACTGCTGAATTTACCGCTAGAATTTGAGTGAAACGCTGTTTCTGCGACAAAAATTGATATTGCTTTCCGATATACCTAATAGGCGATTTAACTATCTCGTTGAATTACTGCAAACATTGAATACATTCTCTGGTTAATTATTCTTAGTATAATAATATTATTACTTACAAAGTAACTCTGTCTTAATGGATAGAGTCGTACCTGCGGTGTGCAAGGTACGATCGAAAGGGCTGAGTAATTTAATATTGCAAACTACTTATATTAATATGATTGATTTTGGATAGAAATAAATTTTTGATAAATATGAGACGGTAAGCTTAATTCTGCTCGTTTCGGCTATGATTTTACGAATGCTCTCCGAAAGCAGAACTACTGGATATAAGCGAACTTGCAGCCATGGCGCGAAACGACGCGTCATCATCAAAACGTTAACGTGGTTCATCTAATGTTCGATCTCTTAACGTTAGATACACTTCCTGCTTTTAACGAAGGTTCAAAATACGGCAAATTTGAACATATTCAATGAGATTTATATCTAAATGCTTTAAACAATCATTACCATATCTTAACAAGACCAATTGGATCATCCAGGTAACCTTCAACCATTCATCTTTTTGCGTCTTCCGAATCCTTTGAATTCCTTAGCCTTTTTAAGCCCTTAACCTGGTTAAAACTTAACCCGCTATCGGTGCAAAATTTAAACCTGCTGGGGTTTTCGTATGTGACTAGTTGAGCGACCCTATAACAGGTCTACACGTGTAAACTAATATCACTTGACGCACGACTAACACAACGATCGTTTGTGAATCAAAAGAAGAATACTTTGACTAGTAAACGATAGATATGAGAAAGATGACCGTTACGAATGACACTTAGTACATACGTGCCTGTTCAAAAATCTACGAAATTCCAAGATATTTCTACAGCTCTAATTTTCCGCCTAAACTTAAGGTCTTTAGGGTGCGCCTTAACATTCGACCTGGAATGTCAAGCGAAGATCCATGTAGAAACGGGCGAAGGAAAGAACGATGAAATGGTTTACTTTCTCGCCTTAAATTGGCAGTACGGGTATAAAACGACTATAAAAATAATGAAGTTACACACCCGATCAAAACTACACGCCCTACAAGTGTAGCCTAAGTGCGATGAAAACAAAACTAATCAATTCGACATCTGACTTTGCCAAAATGACGGCCAACAACAAGCTTGTCCAAAATCTTCATTTTCAGTATTTAATTCACCGTTGTGTGTGAAGACCGGAACGCTTACCTACGTCAGTCTTCTAAGGCGAATTGCGACCTTTGTTCAGTGGTAAAAAATGTCTCAGCTGATCCACATAAAATAATCTGTCAATTATTTCAGATGAGCATCAATTGGTTTCCTTTACCGTCCTTCACTTTTATCCGTCGTAGTTAAAGCTAAAGTGGTCTTTGGTTATAAAAGCCACAGATCACTAATTTAATCGCTGCCATTGATACGAGCTACACTGTATGTGTAATTACATAAACAAAGCAGTAGTACACAGCACATAACTTTAAGACACGTTAATTTCCAGCTAGATCATTAATTAAATTTTTATAAGCCAGAAGGCTGTAAGGATATGCTAGGAATTTCTAGGGATAGAGTTATTGTGATCGATTATTTAGGATGAAAATGTTGTACTTATTAGTAATGTTTTTATCGTTTATGTTTTATTGTTTTTTTACGTTTTATTGTTTAGTGAGGGACAAATATAAAAAATAGGAGCCATGCAGAAGATGCACCGTTATGGCTGTCTTACCATGCTAAAAATACTGACCTAGCTCTGATTTTTATAGGGACTCTTTTAGAAAAGGAGGTATAGTTACTCAAAGCGTTTTACACAGATCTATCGATCAATACTGAGCACGATGTCATCTACATGATTGAAAGTCACAACCTGAATTTTCCTGATTAAAATTAGATCGAAGAAGATAAGTACAAACCTGTCAATGGCATCTTCTCGGAACAATGGCTTTATGAAGAAATTTGCAAACATGTCCAGAGCTGTCGGAAAGGCGGCTTGAGATGTGTCGAATCGGAACATTGTCATATCAACCGCGGTGGTAGCATTTATAGATCCGCCGTTTTTACAAATGAATTGAAGGTATTCGCCTTCCTTCGGATATTTTTCCGACCCAAGGAGTAGCATATGATCCAAGAAATGAGCGAGACCCGCTATATGCGGTGGATCCTAATGAATAAAAAAAACATTACGACTTGCAGTAAGTGTGGAGATACAGATAAAACCCGGACGTTTCTGTGCGGAAAAGTACACAGCGCTGACTGACAGCGTCGTGTAATCTTCATATAATTAACAACTGCATAGATAGCAAAACAGCTACTTCCAGATTGAGATCAGTTAGGATTGCATTAGTACGTATTTTCATGCCATGCACAAGAATCCTAGTTGCTCAGTCTAACAGATTAATCAGGGTCTTACAGACATCTTTTGTGCAGATAAATTGTATTTGTTTAGGCGAGGAGGAATCTGATTGCAATCCAGATCCTAAAATAGCTAGGTACATGATAGCTCCAGAAATAATAATGTTCTTATTTCACTTAGTCCTTACTGCCGCTATGCTACTGCGTGCTGTAAACGGTGTGATTGGTATTTCTTCAACCTGAAAATTGCACCTAACACTATGGTTTTCTGTCCTAGAATCGTTGTACAACGGTAAGAAGATTTACAAGGCCTTTCGTGAGAGGGTAAACGTTTTGAAATAATTTTAGGTCGGTCAAAAGGTGCTTGTTTCCTGTCTGTGTGAGGCCTTCCCTAGGCTGTGTTGAGCTTGCAAAAGTATGACTTTTTAGTTTAAGTTTCTTGTGTGATCAAAGGATAGGACCCAAAAAAATTGATATGCGGCACTGCGTTCTTCACCAGTTCCCCGCTGGCAAAGCTGCAACGGAGAAGACATTCCTGCACAAGATCGATACTGAGGAGCAATATTTTGCGAGCAATAATATTTTGCGACAATCTTGAACGCAAGGAACTATAGTTATGCACAAAACAACCCTTTGAATAGACATAATAAAACGACGATTGCAGGCCATTATTACCTGCTTCAAGCCGTTAAACAAAAAAAAAAAAAAACAGCGTAAAAAATCTTTTCGACACGAGAGTTTACGTGTTTTCGTGATTTAGTAATTTCCTTAAAGATTTTTTTGCACGCGGTTCATAACCCAGCCCTTGTCTTATTTGGATTAGAACCATTGGGACAAGGGCTTGGCGAAACGTATTCCTACCTAACAAACGGCAGGTCTATATTTTTAACGATTTCTTATTGGTGTTACCGGCGATTTTACCCCAACTAACCTGGAAGCTTCCGGCTTTCACAACCAGAGCGGCGGCCGCCATTTTTTCAGTTCGGCATCGTATCTCATCGTAAGTGCTTGAACAAATCGATTTATTGCATTCTGATCCTGTAACGTTATGACGCATTGAAAGTTACAAATTTAAATGTCTGAAATGTGCAAAAAAACTTCTTTGCAAATTTTCAACATACATACATACACTTTTGCCATGCTGCAGTGCAAACAGACTACTAGAACGCGTTGTTACACAATAAATATTCCAAATAGGAACCCTTACTCGTGATAAGTTTTGGCAAAACAGATTTTTCCTCACAAAATGAGCCGTTTCAATACATTTTGTGGTACAATATTAATGAATAATAACTGTTAAACATTTTTATCAAATAATTGAACTTATATATTTATTACGAATCAAGAGCTGTCATCGCTAATAGGTTTTAAAGATCGTTGAGCATCTAATTAGTATTTCGGAATCATGAAGTACGCTTTGAAATTTACGTCGAAGTGGAGTATGACCCACATCATTGGGTCAACTTTTCTCTGTAACCCCCACACACTTGAAATATAATACCAATTTGATAATAACTACGATAGCTGCGTTTGAACACGATTAAAGGAAGATTAAACTATCATTGTGCCGCCCTTAGAATACGAACCGCTGCGATGGTGGCTATATAGTTTAAACGTTGCAATAAGGAAGGCAAACAGTGAACATTGCAATAGGCCAACAGAAGTTTCAATGCGCATTTTCAGAGTGTTGAGAACTCTACGTCGAAAACGCCGTCCTCTATTAATTGTTCTAATTCCGGCTAGACAAGCATCTTATAATGGGCACAGCGTGCCCCCTAGTTACAGGCTGCGACCTTTCAAAAGCTCTAATATCGCGAAAGCGTAAAATGACCATGGTGACATTAGTTATCATCTTCAGTTGTTAGTTCGGTGTAGCTGGACCGCTACCTGAATAGTGCTATATGTCTTTAAATAGAACACCTACGGGTAAGGTAAAGCCAAAAGGAACCGACCAAATTTGCCGCTTGCTTTGACGTATTGCTTGCCGACTCGTTTGACGGACAAATCGACACCCAGCCGCCTCGAAGCATTGTCGACTGGCTGGGGTGCAGATGACACGAGCATTGCCTTTAAACCATTAGTCAGCTCAATGAGACGGTAAAACCGTTTATCATTTTCACTCTTGATCAGCGGCATGGCTATTCGTAGCTCGTCCCAACTCGGCCTAAGTCCGGCCCGTGGTGCTAAGTATAAGCAGTCACGGAATTTCAGTAAATCTTGTTAGTTTGAACGGCCAATAGCACAATTACGGTTCTCCTCAGCTGTTTATCCCATTAATTTCACCTGTTAGCTACCGCAAGTCTTCCGCACACTGCGGTACAAACGATAAGACACCGTCCTGGCTGAAGGGGAAGAGAATTTGGAACTTTGAAAAAACGCAATGCTCTTTCTATGGTAATCGGTCGTATACACTGTAATTAGATTTTCGTATATCACTAAAACAACGAAATGAATATGTCTAAATGTAGATTTTTCACTATTAGCTGACGCCATAACTGTGAGAGTGAGCAGAATGAAAGTAATAGAGAGAATTCAAACTTTGAAAGCCATACTGTTTTAAAGTAATAATAATAATAAAAGTTCGACGTTAAAATAGTTCAATCCAAATATAGCTGAAGTTCGGCAATCGCTAAATATATTAACACAAAACATTGCTATTACGCGACGTGTGTGGTTAAAAAATGAAACAAAGCTTGAACAGTTAATATGTCGTTAAAACATATGAGTACATTTACTAATATAATGCATATCGAGTTAGATACGGTCAGACACACCTGTCGTATCTAACAGATTTCGAGCATGAACTGACAGCGGGCTAATACGAAAATAGTCCTTCAAATACAATGAAGGGTTTTCCAACTTAACCAATTCTTTTTAGTCTTTATATAATTAGCGAAAGATACGTTTTATTATCACATAATGCGGCAACTAGCTCTCAAGTTCTATCGGCATCTGAAACAGTCTGTACTGATCGGCACGCGCTTGGGCCTTTTATCACTAGTAGCTCTAACGTCGTGGTGATACCAAATTTCAATGAAATCAAATTTGTTGAAAAAAAACAGGGATTCACATTAAAGTAGGAGCGCTTTTCAAATCCTCATAGTACTCCAACGCGAATTTTAAACAATTCTTAACGGCTGCCTTTTTTCAACAACTTCTGCAGTAGAAAAGTTACAACGCTGGAGTTGATGCTCTTGATAATAGTACAGTTCGGGAGTTAGGATGCAAATTTATCGGGACCTTAAGATCGCATATCTCGTGAGATAACAGTAAGTTCAAACAAATATGCGGACCCCCTTAACATGTAATATCATTGGCGCACTTAGAGTATCTAGTGTCACAGATCGACTCCATATCTGCGTAGCATATCACGAATTAGCGCAAAGATATGTTTATAGTAAAGACAATAATTATATGGTATTTATAGTTGGTGTGCGTAATACTGATGCAATGATCGCTGATTAGATAAGAAAATCATCTAGGTAAGCTGATTCAGATGCAACCATTAAATTGCATATTATACCTCGGGATCAAAATAATTTAGTTATTTAAACCAAGCACCTTTTTGATCTAATACCAAACTATTTAACTTAAAGGTCATTGAAACTTCTACAAGGTTTGTGCCCTACGAACAATCACGCTTTATATTGCAGGTTTCACCGCTCTACCTCGCACAGCCAGACCGACCATGTAAACCATCACAATTCTATTTAAAGGGCTCATACAATGGTTCTCCCAATCGTCACGAAAAAATTACCCGAAACGACATGCTGTTTAACATGGTAGTAAGTTGTAGAGAAATTAGATCAAATTTTATGTACTTACTTTTGCTGTTGGTAGTCAAAGACTCGACAAAGAAAGGTCAACAACGCAATATTGCGACGTCAGAGAGAATATATAGAACTATTTAAAACAATGCGTCATATTGATATACGAATCTTGTTGAGCTAATGAAAGTAAATTGAGAGATTTTCCATATGTTGTAGAGATAGCACTATGAATCGATGAACTGCATGATACTTATCACCATTTTCCACATATCTGAGGCACCTACATATTCCGGTAGGCTGATGGAAACTTGGTTTTCTGTGTAATGCATGATGGAAACAATCCACGGCAAAGCGAGTGACGGTGCGTCTGTTTAGCCTGTTTATTCTGTTACACTCGTTGTACCTCATCGCATCCGAAGCAAAGAAATTCCTATAAGTCTCTACGAACATTTGCTGCCAGCTTCCAAAGTTCTTCTTAAAGGCTTCCGTTGTTGGAGGCGCAAAGCTATTGCGTAGCTTCCCGAGCAACATTGGTGAGTCAACTAGAAGATATACGAGGCGAGATTCGGGTCACTATGTTTAGTCACAGTGTGCTTTTGAGGAAGGAGGCTATGACCACTGTAAAGTCATTTAAAATGACGTATATCTCATACTTTGCGATCGAAACCACATTGAGATGGGTGGAACAACGCAATTCTATTGTGATAGTGATTTAATTGTCCATGCAGCCCTTTCTGCATATCTCGGTAACGTGCCACGTAAAATCTCTGCCAGTTTAGGGAGAAAAAGATTCCAGGAACCAAAACCAGCTCGTGGAGGCAAAAGCTAACCTTCTCAATAGTCTCAAAGATCTCAATAGCCATTGTCCGTTTCTCCTTCTAAACTTCATCGCCTCCGCCTTGGTCAAGTGTGCAGTTTCAAACGTAGCTACCCTACGCAACCGCGTGAGAACTTGCTGCACTTGGAACCTATTCGTCGCGTGTATCAACAAGTCTTTCAACAACAGGACTTCTTCGGCTGTTTTATTTAGCTGAGGAGGCCCTTTAGCAAGACGGAGAATAAGAACGGGCTCGAGCTGTCCCTCTCAAACCTCAAAGAAAAGAAAAAGTTCGGATGAATAAAAACGCCCATCTCGACCAGCGTGAGGATAATTTTTTTTTTCTGTATATACCGAGTCGAAGAGTGCTCTGAAGTCGATGAACTCTGCGTACAGCAAATTAAGCGGCGTGCCGGTGCTCTCTTGACATCGGCTATCGGAATCCTGCATGCCATTACTGTGAAGCGTTCCCTCCGGAACACATGTGGCTCTGTTGAGATGGCGTGTACGCATTTTAAGTAGTTGTTCAGTCTATTATTCAACAAGCCGAAAAGCAGCTTATAACGAACACTTTTCTTCGCCATGATAACAGCGTAATTGGATCACCCTCTCCTTTAGGCGTTATTAACAAAATAGCGTCTTAGTGTGCTGAATTAAATTACTATAGTAGTATGTAAACATTTATGAAACGGTGCCGTTCGGCACGGTACCAAAACTACGGCGCACCTGAAATGCTAGCTGGAGATTCAGTCAGTTGCGGTCGACGGCCGTACCGACTACATCGTAAAGAATTTCAGCCGGATGCTGCGCATATGCTTAGACATGCACCACGTCAGATATAGGAAATATGCTATGAGTGCGTTTCAGGAGCTCGTCTACGTCTAATTGTTGCAACGAAGCTTGGGATTCTACAGTACAGATACAATTTGGTTAATGAGGTCTATTGTCATTGGTATGTGAGCACAACTACTTGATCTTTCTGACAGAGAATAATTCTCAGCTTGAAGTTTCACTCTATCCCTGGTTACGTTTCTCGCAAATATATCAAGAACCGAATTCTTCCATATCTTAAAAAAGTCGGTATCGAGGTGGGGTTGAGCACCCAACAACCGAAGTCCGCGAGCATGTCTTGAAAACCTGTAGTGTGACTCCAGTTCGGCTAGTCGAGGCGATCGTTAAAGTCACCGGCAATAACCAGAGGAGAGGCAGAAAAAGAAGACAACGCTTCCAGTCCTTTGACGAGTTTTCTCACCAATATGTACGTTGATTTTAAGTAAATCGGCCGATCATAGATTGCTTCAAAACTTAGTCGCAGGCCCCGTAAGGCAATGTCGTTCCAGGAACGCTGTAAGATAGCCTATCTTACGACTGTAAAAAACAATGATGCCTCCAGTAAGGCGGCCTGTTCCGTTGCTCTTTATCGCATGACAGCGGGTAGAAAATGCGGTAAGTTGAAAGAGCTAGTTGTCCAGATATCCGTCAATACGCGGATATCGATATTCTCCAAGGTTTCCGGGAAGAGCAGCGCCAGAGTTGCATCTCCACACAGGTCCATTGTGTAACCTTCAACGTCTCTTTAAGGTCCGGCTTCGTTGCAAGCGTCGTAATTGTCCTATCAAACGGCTGCAATAATTCAAGGTGTCGCGTCGTCAATGTTGCCAGAACCTACTTCATGAAGTCCTCGATTGTTGGGATAGTAATATAATTTACCAATTCTCCGCCTTGAACGAAGAGGGAAACGCACAGCACATGTACTTCTAACCCAGATCGTGAGGTAACTAGTGTCTCCGAGGAACTTTCTACCGTGCTGATCATATATCTATCCTTTTCGAATTCCATGCAATTATAGTAGCCAGCCTGTAAAAATAGCGCAACTGGGGTTAGCAAATCACTTCTGTATCCTCATAGACATTTAACTATGTACAAGACATACTTCACATTGGAAAATTTGCATCATCCGAGTCGACGTCGCGAGGTATCTCCTTGGCCTTCACAGAATTGATTGCACATTCGAATTTTACTTAATTTTGAACAAAAACATTTATTTTCTTTAGGCGATGTTTACCAAAATTGTATTGACTGCTATTAGCGGTAATCTTCGCCCACCTTCAAGCAGCTTTTCAATTTAATTTTTGTTGAAGTTCCTATTTTTATTTGCGACAAACTTATCGAAATGTGATAATCGACACTAGCAAGTCGATACTACAAAGTGGGAGAGGCAAAACATCTTAATTAAGTTCCAACAATTTTTTTTGGCAGAACAATGAATGTCTGCGAAACCGGGTGTTGTCATAATAAAACATCACTCGTTTTCTATTAATCAAAGCCGAGCACTTTCCTTGGATGCATTTCCTCAGACGGCCAGACGATTTATTGTACGTGTCTGAGGTAATAGTTCGGCTGTTTGCGGGTAGCTCGTAAAAAAGCGCTTGCCTAAAATTGGACCAGATGCACCGCATTATGTTCATTTTATGGCGTCCCGGATTGGCTATCGATTATGACGTAGTCTGACCATGATCTACTCTATGTTACATTACTTTAGATTATCCGATTTCCATCACCCGCCATCTTTGCTGAAAAAAATATCTTCGTATAGTTCATGAAAATGTTTGGCAGTGTATACACAATGCATCAACCGGTAGGTCGTCAAGTCATGAGGAACACGGTTGGCGCAACTGCTGTTCAATAGATCTCTTCGAACGGTCGATTCAGATTCTCCTGTGTTTTCTGCAATCTGGCGAAGGCAAAGACATGATTTTCATCGAACACAGTGAGAATTTCAGCGTTCTTAAAGTCATAGGCTCTACATGCACATATTTTGCTTGCGTTTTTACATTTCAATAATGAACAAACCCCTTTAGGACCAAGTAATTGGCTATGGT